TTTAAAATAAACATGTTTCTTCTCTCGCTTTGTCCCATGGGCTGTGCACTGTTTTTCAAAATCCACTTTGAATAACAAAAGCAGGTTGCTTGATTCACCTGGGCTGGGATCTGATTTCTGCACCATGGTTCTTAGTTCAGGTATATATTTATCTTAGAATGCTTCTCTTGTCTTTCTTCTAAGAAGAAACGTGATTCACAGCCTCTCCCCAGTCTCACATTCTCCGAGGTGTCTCCACTAACTACAGTCTAGGGATAATATGGTTTTACCAAGATCAAAATTTATAGATCAAGATATCATCCTTCCATTATTATTATTATTATTATTTTGTACCATGACTCAAACCAGGATCTTAGTGTTAAGCTTCATCTCATCTTTTAGTACTTTTTTTTTTTACTTTGAGACAGTGTCTCCCTAAGTTGATAAGTTGCTCAGAATCATCTTGAACTTGTCACTCTCCTGCCTCAGCCACCAAGAGCACTGGCTTGACAAGTGTGTGCCACCATTCCCAGCTCCATTCTTTACTCAAAAAATCGTGACACCTGTCCCTGATTCCTTCCCAACAATGTTTGTGAAATGCTTTTCTTCCCTCTGGAAATCTTCCACTCATCTTCCAGTGCTTATTGGAGATGCCAGTTTTCTGCATCAATCATTTTGTCTCTTCCACCTTGTCATGGTTTATGTCTGTGTCCCCCAGGCCTCATGAGTTTGTATTGTGTATTTGTGATTGGTTCATTGTGTAGTGCTTGGAATGATGGTGTCAGTGCTCCACCCACATAGGGGTGGAGCCAGGATGTGATGTAATGGCAGGAAGAAGCTGTGTCTTGCTCTTTGCTGGTTCCTGTTTGCTGTTTGCAGCCGCTATGAACTGCAGCCCAGCCATGCCCGCCTGCCTTGGAGCCAACTGAGTGTGGACTGAAACCTCCAAAAACTGTAAGAAATAAACCTTTCCTTTCCCAACTTTGGGCTTCAGGTATTTTGTCTCAGCGACAAGTAAAAAGTAACTAAGACACACCTCAAAACCTCTAAACACCTCAGACCCTGTACCATCCTCTTCCTCAATCTTTGAACATAATTAGCTTGAGCCCCTCCATTGAAGGGTGGCCCTTAGGTCTGAAGGCTCTCTTTTCTCCTGGCCACTATGGTACTGAATCTGGCTGAACCTCTTCTTATTTCTCTAATGGTTCCTCCTCTATGCCCTGCATTGATTCTGGCTTCAGCCCATCGCTCCTGCTCTTAGTCCTTCATCCATTCATTTATTTGTAGATTTGCATCTTCTATGAACAGGGCCTAGTACCTGCCTGGCACCAGTCTAGGAAGGACAACATAGCAACAAACAGAAACAAGCAGCGCTGCTTTCATAGAGAAGAAATGTCCTGATGGGAGGAGACAGAAAATAAGAAAGTACATAAGTTAAAATAAAATAAATGTCAACAGTGAAAAGAGACCTGAGAAACAAACAGGATAATGCATAAATAACTGCAGGTGAAGGAGGCGGGCACTGGCCAGTTTAGAAAGAATGATCAGCACATTTGTGGCAAGACCAAAAGGTCAGAAACCAATGGCAGGATGAAGAACATTCCAGGTAGAAGAGACACTGGATGAAAACACTAAGCTAATAATAATTGGGAAAATCTTGATAATTTTGAGGTAGATCTTTTAAAAAACTAAGTGCAGTTGGAACATTGTGGCTAAGACAGACAGCGGCAGACAGTGGAGAGAGCCATGGCTCAGGGCCAGCCTTGCCAGGCCATGGGATGAATTCCAGATTGTATTCACATGCAGAGAGATGCCACAGGAGGGCTTTAAACAAAGAAGCACACTTAGCTCCAGCTATACAGGTTTTGCATCCATAAATTCCACTAACTGTAGATAGAAAATATTCTGGGAAAAAATAGAGCATCTGCACTGAATCTGCAAAGACTTTTTTCCTCTTAATTATTCTCCAAAAAATATAGTATAATGACAATTTTCATATATTTCATTAGGTATTATAAGTAATCTAGAGATGATTTTTAGTACATTCGAGGATGTGTATAGTTACGTACAAATAGTATACCATTTTATCTAAGAGACCAGCATCCCCAAATCTTGGTATCTGGAACTAGTTCTCCATGGAAGCCAAAGGACAATTTATAGACTAGACAGACTGTTGTGTATACTGTTTGGAAAAGTTTGACCCATCAACTGTAAGGACAAGGATAGTCACCAAGCTGGAAAAGACCAAACACCAGCAAAAAATAAAATAAAAGGATTGAAACAGAAATAGCAGCAGAGACGAGTTCATCATTTTAAGTGTAAAAGTCCTCAGAAGTCAGGCGTGTTGGTGCATGTTTGTGATCACAGGAACTTGGGAGGCTGAGACAAAAGGATGGCAGGTCGAGGCCAGCCTGAGCCACACAGCAAGGCAGCCTCACACAAACAAAGCCAATGTGTTTCAGGAAACGTCAGGTGTTTGCAGAAGTGACTGAGAACCACTGCCAAAAATCAAGGAAACAGCAGAAGATTGAAGCGAACAAATGCTGTTTTCAATAGAGGAGAGAACATGCAAAGTGGTTTCGAGAAACCAGAGGCAATTTTTTCCCCAAAAAACATCTTGTAAAAGCTTCAAAGTCACTATTTAAGATAGGGTTGAAAAAGAGAAAACTTAACAAATATTAAGAATATGTATAAAAGGGCCAAAAATTTATAAAGTGAAGCCAAACCTGATGGGATAGTTTGAAAGGTGGTTTATAAAGTCATCAGACTGAAAAATCTCAGTCACTTACATATTTCAAATTTGGTGAGACTTTAAGTCCTTCATTCCATTCTGGAATTGTTTGAAATGTATTATTGAAAATTTGTTTCCATGTAAATGTAAGTAAGTCATCCTACTTCTTTCCTATGGATTATTACATATCTACCTTCTCTCACATATGATCTTTATTTAAATTTTCACAATGTGTTGTGCTTTACACATGGAAAGTAGAAAGATGCGCTTGAGTATTTATGATTGAGCAAATGAACTAAAATTTAATTAGTGGCTCATTGTCAGCGTAGAGTGAGATTTTAGGAGCACATCAGTGAAATCTTCCTTATTGTTTTTCCTTTTCATTTTTTAAAAAACTCAGTTCAGATGAACTGATTGCCCCAGTCCACATATAGAAGAAAGCTGAAGAAAACAGATATATAGAGTGGTAACAATTCCCATAAAAATGTTAACAGAGTGATACGGTGCTTGATGGAAACAGATAAATTTCAGTAGCAATACATGCAAAATTTCATAATAAAATTTCCAAAATCCACTGTACAATTACAAAGTAACTCTGCAACAGGTCGAATGAAAAATATTGTGAGGTATGAACACAAACTGATTCATCCTCAAGCGAGTATGGCCATGATTCCATTGGATTTGTGCTGATTAGAACATGCAGGGAGCACTGGTCATTTTGAGAATTATGTTGATAAACTAAATTCTCCTGAGAAAGTGACCAGTGACCAAGATTGGAGGCTATTAGAAAACAGTAAACATGGGAAGTAACTCAGATTTTAAAAAAAGTCCTTGTAGGCATGGAAGAAGCACAGGAAAAACAATATTAGGATCAGTTAATGGGATTTGGGGAAGAAGGGTGTACACAATTTAACTGAATTTAAAGAAGTTCCTTAAATACTAAAGGGTGAACTTGTCAAGTAGTAAGCTCTCACAAAGAAAAAGGTCAGGCACGTTGATCAAGAACGTTCTTGGGGGATCTGAGAATCGCAGAGGAGGTCAAGTCTACTTTAACTTTTCGTGCAAGTATAACATAGCATGTTGCAAGAGTCGGTCCCCAAACAACACAGCTTACGCTCTGGTGGCTCCTTGCCCGGGAAGAGCTCACTGATGACATCTTGTTGCTCTGTGTGTGATGTGTCTGGAGGGAGCGTTTCCTGTGCACTCAGGCTCAGCTGTTACTCCGCGCTCCCTTTCGGAACATCAGTGCTAAGCTTTCCCTTTTGGCAAGAGAGCAAGAGGGGATAAGACGAGGGCGGGCGGCAGAGCAGGCTTTTGTGCCAGTCTGTATTAATCTCTCAGCTCAGTTCCAGGCATTCCTAACCTCTAATGTCAATTAGAGTTTATAGCACAGCGTAAAGGTTTAGGTTTCTCTTCCAGGAATTGGGAGAGGACATTCAAGCAGCTGCTAGCACCAGGGAGTGGCTACTAGTTGGAAGACGCCAACCACTAACCGCTTTAATTAAAAAAAGAAAGAAGGAAAAGTACCATAAGCGGGCTGCACAGAACCTGAAAGGCCCCAGGCCTCTCTCGCGCTGCCATCTGATCGCCTCTCTGGGGCTGTTGTGAGCACGCGAACAGGTGTGCACCGCCCCCCACTTCCCCGAGCGCACTGGGATTGTCTCGCTGCGTTCGCCTTGCTGGAAACCAACTGGTCAGGGCTACACAACAGCTAGACAGGTGGTATTAGAGGGGCTCGGCTCCGGCTGGGGTGAGAAGCCGGGAGCGCTGAATACTGTAGATGACATCACTGCCTGCAAGAGATCCGGCCCTCCTCTTCCCGGAGCTGGAGGCAACACGTCTGTGCGGGGACAGCCGCGGGGTCGCCGCCCGCAGGGTGTGAACTGCAGGGCGGCGGCGGCCGGTTGCTCGGCAGAGTCGGAGTGGGCGCGAGAAGGAGCCCGCGCGCGGGGCAGCTCGGCGGCTCCAGGTGGTGGCGCTGCGCCGGGCTCCGCCCCGCTCGGCGGCGCGCGCGGCCCTGGGAGGGGCACGGCGGTCTGGGGGTGGGGAGCGAGCGCCCGAGGGGAGGGTCCGCGGTGGCCCTGGGGCGGAGAGCCGCCTGCGCACACGGCCGGGGCCGGAGAGGGGCCGCGGATCGGCGCCTCGTAGGATCCAGGGGCGAGTCCTGGGAAGGGACGCCCCCGCTCCTGGCACCCTCCCTCTGCGATCGCCAGCCCACCGGGATTTGCGCCTCCTTCCCGGCCCCTTCCGGCCTCCTGAGGAGCCGCGGTGCGCACCCGAGCGGCGAGCGCCGGATTCTGTAGCCCAGACAGGCGGCCCGGGCGGCGTCGCGTGCAGGGACACGCCCAGCGGGAGTCGCCGGTGGGGCGGAGGAAGCCCGGGCCCCTGGTCTCGGGGGCCGAGTCGGAGCGGAGCTGTTCCTCGGGGAGACAGGTGAATGCACACGCATCCCTTCGGTGGGCGGTGCAGCCTCCTAGGGCCGGCGTGCGACCCCCAGCCGAACCGAGCCGAGCCGAACCGAGTCGAGCCGAGCCGCGCCGAGCCGCGCCGAGCGTGCCCGGGCGCGGGCTGGAATTGGAAGTTCTGGGTGGGCGGGGAAGCTACTGTCCGTGGTGCTGAACCGGATCCCGGCCGCGAGCTCCTGGGGGAGAGCGCGGAGCGGGGGATCGGCTCCTCCGGCTGGGGCGATCTGCGCGGGGGCTTCGCGCTGAACCCCCGGCCGGCTCACGGCGCGCCTGGAGCTTCCCCAGGCAAGGCGCCTCGCCCTTTTTCTTGTCAGAAAGTCGCCCTCTTGGGGCAGCTCGTCCCAAAGGGTTTCCTTGAAAGAATCCGAGAGCGCAGTTCCTGACCGAGGAAATCTCTGTTGAGCTCTGGAAGCCGCCCCCCGAAAAAGATGCCGGCCTTCCACAGTTTGTTTCCCCTGGTTTCTCTCGTGCTCATCTACTGGGGTAAGTACCAGCACCCCGCCGTGCAAGCTGCAGGTGACAGTAATCAGGCTAATAATAATAACATTCATTGATGTCGTTGGTGACAAAATAAAAAAAGGCTAGTTTGTTTTCCTCTGTGCATGTCTGCCAGGCATGGAGATTCATGTGGGTTTCATGAGAGCAGGGATTTTGACTTCGGAAAGGTGCACCTCATATTCCCGACCTTTTCTGGTGGTTTTTCCACCCTTCGTATCCTGATCATTTTCATTTTCCCTTGTCTGTTTGCCAAGAGAATATAGTCACGTTCATAACAAATGAATACGTGTGGCTTGCAGTTGCATGTCATTGTTCAGTGAGGAGTGAGTGCTCTTGGAAATCTCGTTGGGTCTTTAAATGTATTTTTCTTTGTTAAAAAAAGAAAACCCAAATCTAGGTGCATGAATTTTGAGAGCAAAAATACTTTGTTGATCCATCTGCTTCGTTTTAATAATGAGTGACAGGAAAACAGGCATTAGCCATTTGCTGTGCGTTAAATGAATTGGCAACTGGGAAATGCATGAGTTGTTTGCCCCCAAAGATGACTACGTTCTTGTTTATTAGCAGTGACAGGCTCAGATGACCTTCCCCCTCCACATAAGAGTCCTATATTTACAACAGTAAGGCTTCGTAGAGCAGCGCCAGGCATGATCATGCAGTGGGATGCCTAAATGTGTGCAAAGGGAATTAAGAGTGCACATGATGATGTCTGAATGTGTGCCCGTGTATGTCTCAGTGTCTGACTGTGTGTACTCGCTTGTGTCTGAGCAGTTAGTGTGGACATCTGAATGGACTGATGAGAGTGGAGGGGTGTGTGTGTGTGTGTGTGTCTATAGTGCAGTGCTGGGCCTCTGTGCCCTGCTGTCTGACTAGAGTCTCAGATTGAATATAGGTACTCCGCAGCTGACAGATTGCTTTATATGATCTTGGCTACCTTCCTTCATGGTAAGATCGATGAAAGAGATGATTGGATTATGTCTCCCCTTCCGTCTGAAAGCAGGTATTGGGATTCTGCTCCTGTGGTTGGCGTGAGCCTCAGTCTCCCTGGGCAGCAGCAGACATGCTGATGAGAATCGCCCCTTTACCTTAGTCTCACTTTGTCAAGCTTCAGAGATGAACTGTAGCTCCAGCATTATCTGGATTTTGCATGTGACCAGAGGCAGAGCGAAGCTTTCTGGTAACAAAATGCTTGCTGAGACAGACTGTGAAGGGTGAGGGGGGAGGGTAGTGCTAACCTGGAGGGCAGGTTTGCCGCCATCCACCCCTCTATGGGGTACACCAGACCTGGAGATGAAGCAGACATACTGGGTTGCCAGGGAGCTCATCTGCCTTGAAGATTAAAGCTTAGATTTGCTCCAGGGAAATGCTAGAGTTATGCAGCTTAGGCGAGGTTAGTCAGGCAAGGATAGAGAGAGTGAAAGAAAAGCTAAAGTTATAGAGAATGGCTGGGGTAAGATTTATAGGCTGTCTTTCTAGATGCTAAGTCTTTAAGGTTGCCTGAATTCCAGTGGAGAGAGTGAAGCATACTCTTATCCAAGGATTTTTTGATTAGCATGGACAAAGCCTGGCTCTGCCTCTATCTCACTATGTAACAGCCTCTATCTCACTATGTAACAGCATCATAATATCTGGTTCCTTATATGCAGAGTTTGAAAGTTGGGACAGATATCTGACATCCTTTTTAGCATTTTAACTAAATGATTAGGGCAATATTTTCAGAATATTACTCGAGGGCAGCCCACTCAGAACCCCTTCTGTCTCTCTCCCAGACAGAAGCTTTCTTTCTCTCAACAAATATTTCTGCTTTTAAAGGAAAAAAAAAAAAAAAAAGAATATTACTAGAATTGGCAAAGTGCCCATCCCCCACTCTTCCACCCCAAAACTTTGAAAAACTACACATCACATCACACCATCCTTGCTTACCTGTACAGTGACTCACCAAACTGAAAAGCTTCAGAAGGGAAAGATAAGAGGTTCAGGATGCCTGGTTGTTAAATATAAGAAAGAACCACATTGACAAATGCAATTTCACTTTATTGGCCTGTAATTCTAATATTGGGAAGCAGTTAGCTCAGATTTATATCCCTCTTTTTTTTTTTAGATTTATATCCCTTTTCAAGCTGAGTTTTCACACGCTGCTCAGGAAGGGAAAGAATCGTCTCCATTTACTTTCCGCATGTGTTGAATACAGTTCCCCTATTTCCTTTCATTAAAGCTATAATAATAATAACCACTTACAAACCTGCATCTGCCTGATGCTTCACGATTCACAAAGCGATTTCCACTCCATTAGTTCTTTTGGCCTTCATATCAATCTTAGGGGGTTTGGGAGAAGGAATGTTATTTGCAGTTTAGAAATGAGAAGATGAACTCAGAAAGGGGAAGAGGCTAGAAAACTCTCATTTTCTGGTTTCGGTCTTCTGATGCTTCTTGTAGCACATATAATGGACACGGGTTGTGCCATGAGCAATTGCTGTCTTCACGTTGCCCCCCTTAGCCTCTTGCCCTCCTCCCTGGCACCATCCCTGTTCTCCCACGGCCCATCACTAAGGCCTTCTCTCTCCTCTTAGAAGCACTTCCCGCATCTCATTCCTTCAAGGCCCTGCTGTGTAAACTAGCTAATTCGATAGAACAAGTCATTTCAGGATCTAAAAATAACCTCACTTATAACCCCCGTTTGGAAATACTTGCATGCTAATCAAACCTTTATAATATCAATGCAAAGGAAGCATTTTAGAGCAGGCTTAGCAAGAGCAAATTGGACAGTGGCCAAAGAAAGAAAGATGTAGAAATCGTAGAGCAATTGGTTCTGTGTAGTTAAATATAATCATCGTTAATCTATCATATCCTTTTTCATAAGTTTATTCCTGCTGTGGAAACTGAGGCTGACTAAAAATCACTAAAGGACCAGTGATTTGGCCAGCCTTGTTCCAGTGTTTATCATGTATATCAGCGTGGGGGTCCAGCTCCTGCCACGTGGACAGTCTTGGCTCCGCAGAGGACTTCATAGAAAGTCAGGCAGTGGTGTGCTGGAGAAGTAGCGGTAGAGAAACAGACTTCACCCCTCGTTGGAAGGAGGAGGAAGTCGTATTGCAAAAGGCCAGCAAACAACGTGGGAGAACTTCAAGGCCATTTTGCAACGTACTATGCAGGACCAGGGGAGCAGCGCTGAAACTGGACTTTAGCCAGAAGAAGGGAAGTAACAGGGCTTGTTCAGCAATGATTGTTTGGGTTGGGCTGGGGATTTAGCTCAGTGGCATAAGGGCCTGCCTTGCAAGTGCATGGTGGTGAGTTTGATCCCCGTACCGATTTAAAAAAATTATTATTTGGGTTATTTTCACTGAGAAGACAAAAATTATTCTACGGCCACCATTCTGACTGCTAGATTTTGCCTTCCTTCCTTCAGCTGTCACCCTGCAAGTAATTCCCTTTCAATCCCTGGTTCCCTATTAGCTTCGCCCAAGCTGAGCCATCTCCCAGTCTGACCATTGACTGTCTGTTCACCACTCAGTACTGGAGATTGAGTCCAGGGCCGTGCGCCTACCACTGAGCTACATCCCTGGCTCTTTTTTTTTATTTTTCCAGTACTGGAGATTTAACCTTTTGATGTAGCATTAAACTTTTTCTTTTTGGTACTGGAGTTTAAACCCGGGCTTTCGTGTTGAGCTATATCTCCAGCCCTTTTTTATTTTTATTTTTTATTGAATCAATATCATTAAATCTCTATTTGATCAGACTACAATGTGCAGTTCTCCTGCCTCAGTCTCCCAGACTGCTGGAATTGCAGGCATGCACACCATGCCTGGCTTCTCTTCACTTTTGAGTAAGATCAAAGTTCTCATCTACTTTCCAGCCTTCGACTATCTGAAGACAGATTTCTGCATCCCAGTTCTGCACTGCACAGCCTTCCATTCGTTCTTACCACACCATCTGGACGCCCCTTGCCATCTTGCCATCTTTGGGCGAGCACTCATCAAGCAACTTCCCTTTGAAAAATGTGACATCCCACTGGTATAGCGGTCCAGATTTGTTCTGAACACCGCAGCGCTCCTCCTCCTCCTCCTCCCTTCTGTACACTGTACATCTGTTAATACAGCCCACATTTGCACTTATTTTGTTGGCAGCTGAGACCTATTTTTGATTTATTCTGAGTTTGCGATCTGATAGGCTTGCCTTCTTTAAATAGATGGAAATTCTAGAGGGCAGGAATTATAAATCCAAGCCTCCAGATTTGACCACATGTTCCACGATCTGACCTCGCCAGGTGTTTAACTTTGTCTCTCCTTACTCTGCATTGAGTCTCGCTTCCTCGTGGTGGGCAGCTGCCTCTGCCAGCCTTCAGGATCACCAGTATTTCCACAAAACCCAGATGCGACTGCATCTCTCCATGGCTTCAAAGCACTTGGCACCTCATGCTGTAAAGGACATAGAGCTTGGCTGGCCTGGGTCCTGTCTGTCTCTGTAGGCTTGTGTCAGCAGCATTTTATTCCTTTCCCCTAGGCCCCGTCAGGAGTAACTGACCATGCCTCTTTGGGAATGGAGATATCACCAGTATAGCACTCTCTGAGGTCTAGTTACTCATAGTTAGATTTAACGTCTATCGATAGGTTATGAGAGCGCTGGGGTGATGGTTAGCTTTCTCTCCATTTCTGATCTCCAGTTTAGCATAGCACCCGTCACAGAGTGGATCTCAGTGAATATTTGTTAGATGATGGCAGTGCTGATAGGCAGCCGCATGCCCCGCCTCCAGTCTAGACTAAGACTAGAAGAGCAGGGCTCAAGCCTGTCTTGTGCTGCCACTTTGCTGCTTCAGGAGAAGCTTCAAGAGAACCTCTGAGTCTGTGCCCGGTAATCCCCTTCTCTCCGCTCTTACTGTGTGCCTGTTCCTAGCAATGCACTTGGGAAGCACAGGTGAAGGTGTAGACACACAGATGTGTCTGTTTCCAGGTTGTCTCACGGTTCTTCCTTCTCTGTTTTCTCTCCCTCTTTCCCCTGGTTGCCCTTCTTCCCACTGCCTGCTGTCCCTCCCCCGACCTCTGCCCTTCTCCAGTCAGCGTCTGCTTCCCTGTGTGTGTGGAGGTGCCCTCGGAGACAGAGGCCGTCCAGGGCAACCCCATGAAGCTGCGCTGCATCTCCTGCATGAAGAGGGAGGAGGTGGAGGCCACCACTGTGGTGGAGTGGTTCTACAGACCCGAGGGCGGTAAAGACTTCCTTGTATGTCACACTGCAGGCTCTGGCCCTTCTTTAGCTGTGCTGCTGGGTGTCTGGCTTCTGACGGTCTGGGGGACTCTGGGCCAGCACACACTGGTCGTTTCCCTTACAGGGACTCACAGCTCCTTCCTAGAAAACCACAAGCCCTAATTTTGCCCAGCTTCCGTGCAGGGGAGGGTAGGTGACCAGCTATGGGCAGCCCTGGTTACAAGTAAGGGAAGGAAGACAAATAAGTGGCTGTCCACAAAGCCCGTGGAGGAGCAGGTACTCTGCTGGGAATTTTGCTTTCATTTCATCTTCCACATCATCCTAGGAGACGGATTAAATTAGTGGAGAAATTAAAAGGGAATGAAGCATTGTTATGTGAAATGCCATCGGTTAGCTCTTTCAGCTAAATAAGCACGACAGGGATGACCAAGATTGGTCCTGAGCTCATACACTGCCCTGGCCACATCTCTGGGTGAACTGTTTTGTTGGTTCTGTGGTGGAGATTTGCTGTGCCACATCTCCCAAGTGGTCAGGCCATCATTCTTCCTGCTAGGGGTCCTCAGACTCTTCCAGGGGCTGGAAACCAGAGGTTCTCTTCTGGTTGACTAAGGAGCCTCAGATGTGGCAAGTAGGCCATACCCAATGTTGGTTCTGGTTGGTTTGTACCAGTGCTGATGTGGTTGCTACATATTTAGAAAACCGCTTTGGTGGACCAGGGATTTAGCCCAGTGGCATAAGCATCTACCTGGGAAGTGCAAGGTCATGAGTTCGATCCCCAGTACCATTTTTAAAAAAATGATTAAAAAGAAAACCGCTTTGAAGATGACCGATATTGATGCTGACTCTGGAGTCTAGGTACCTGGAGTTGAGTCTTTGCTCCACTGTTTGGCTCTGTGTACTTGGGTACATTGCTCCACACCTTGGTGCTTCAAGTTGCTCATTTTAATATAAGGATATAAACTCTGAGGTTGTTACCAGAACTCATGAGCCCTTATTTTTATTGCACTTAAAATAGTTCCTGGAATATAATAAACACTGTGTTGTTTGCTGGAAAAGAGAGACAGAAACAAAGAGACTGAGATTCAAAGAGGTTAAGTGAGTAATAGGTTAGATTTGAGCCAGGTCTGACAGCACATTCAGTGCCCATTTTGCAGCTCCCCCTTGTCTTCTTAGGGACATGTTTCTCCTCCACAGGGAGGTTTCATGGAGACAATAGGAAGTAAAGTTGAATGTCACTTGTGCTTTTTTCTAGATCCCTAAAGCTGAACTCACTTCTAACTCTAAATTACATGTGGTGTTATAGGTTGGTTCCAATCAGATGCCAAGATGAGAACCAGCAGAGACTTCCCAGAACTGAGGCTTAATAGTGAACAACACATCCATGAAGCCAGGCTGTGGCTTCTGCCCAACTTGCAGGAAGCTGATGTCTTGCCCATATGTGCATGGGCCTGTGAGGCTCAGACACAGTTGTATACCAGCTGCCTGCACTGGTTCTGGGTCTGTCCAAACTGAGAAGATGCAACTTAGGAACCAAAGTTTGCATTTAACTTCTAGGAATTTGAATCAAAGTAGTCCCATGTGGCTCATAAAATGAACAGCACAGCTGTAGAGGGAAAACAAAATGTGTCATGTCAGAGGGTGGAAGAGGGTCAGAGTCTTAAAAAAGAAATTTAAGAGACCAGATTTCAATTCTAATTCAACCCAAAGCAAAAGTCCTGCCATGCACCTCTCAGTGGGCAGCTTTCTGATCATAGTTCAGCAGCCTGCAGTCCCTGCCCATGGCTTGGCCCAGGCGACCCCGCAGACCCTTGATGGGCACCAGCCCAGAGTCAGGAGGTCGGGACTTGGCTGTCAGGCGTTTGCACTGCGAAGGAAACTGCCTTTCTTGCTCTCTCACCTTGTTTTCTCACCGGCAGCTGCCTGTCTCTCCTGCGCTCTCCTTTGGTCTGCTTCCCACTCTTGTTCTCTCCTTTTCCCCTCTCATCTCCTTTATGTTTTCCTCTGTTCCCAGTCCTTCCACTCTTTGCATTCATTCCTCCTGTCGGGTTTCTTCCTGTTAACCCCTTGCTACCTCTTCGCTTTCTGTGTCTTCATGTCTTGATGCCTGTTGACCTCTGTCCGGTTTTCTGCTTTGGCTGTCTTTGCTGACTTCCTCTGTAAATCTTCCCACCCCCAAGTCCTGCATCCACTGGCTTCCCTGTCTGACTCCTCCCTTCTCTCCTTGCCTGGTTCTACCTGCTCCTGCTCCTCTACCTGCAGATCTTCGAGTACCGCAATGGCCACCAGGAGGTGGAGAGCCCCTTCCAGGGTCGCCTGCAGTGGAACGGGAGCAAGGACCTACAGGACGTGTCTATCACTGTGCTCAACGTCACTCTGAATGACTCCGGCCTCTACACCTGCAACGTGTCCCGGGAGTTTGAGTTTGAGGCACATCGGCCCTTCGTGAAGACCACACGGCTGATCCCTCTCCGAGTCACTGAGGAGGGTGAGGCTTAGGCTCTGGGTCTCAAGGTGTCCTGCCTCTCAGGGGTGTGGGTGGGAAGATGTGTGAGACCTTCGGAGAGCACAAAAAACCATGCATTTGAAACTGCCTTCCTCAAGCATCCAGTTTCCTGAAAACTGCTTGACTCCCTTGCCGTTGGGGCCTTCAAAGCAGAAAAGTTAGAGATAATAACAGAAAGACCTCTTCCTGATCCCACAAAGCCCACGTTTACTGACTCACTGATGTGCATTTCTCTGGCCTGTAGTGAACCCCTCACTAGGCTCAAAGAAGTCTTACGTGATTATTTAGAAATCATCTCTCCTCCTGTCTGTAAGGAACATACACCAAATCAGTGGTTCTGAAGACTCAGCAAGCCCCAACATATCCTGCCGAGCTTTCTGGATCACAGATTTTCTGAATCCATAGGATTTACATTGTCTAGTAAATCACCAGGGACTGCTGATACTGTTAGGAACACCGCTTTGAAAACTCTGAACCAACAGTTGATAAGCTTTTTTGTCTTTTGTCTTTCTTGACAATAATCACACGTGCCACCCCTTCTCTTTCTATGGCCTCTCTACTAGGTAAGTCCACTCTCAGTTATGGGAAGGGATCAGACTCTAAGCCCCATTGTCTGTAAAGGTTCCACATTCCTTTAGCTGGTTCTTTGTTAATGTGTGGGCATTCCCTTCAGCAACCTAACTCAATGTTCCTCTTGCAACCTGAATGCAGAATCTTGAAGGGGAACACGCGAAGCACTGGCTCACACACTGCTTTTGTGTTGATGCTGGTGGACTCAGGGACCTGCTTGCTCCTGGCCCCACGCAAGCCATGCTCTGTGTGTGACAGTGAAAGAAGAGGTCAAGTTAAAGATAGAGCTCTCCCTAGAATAAGGATCTAGAAATCCTAACCTCTAGACTGCATGGTGGTTGTTTATCATGTCAAAGTGTAGATTGTTAAGTGCTGAGAGCGATCAACAGAAAGAGACAGTGACTAAAGCAGGCAGAAGGTCAGTTCTGAAGGGGCAGAGCCCTTGGGCCACCTGAATCAAGACCTGATGAGTCACTTCCCCTCTGTGACCCTGTTTCCTCTTGTGCAAAGAGCTGGAGCTGGGTGGGAAGCTCTCTAGGGATGCATCTATCTACTCAGAAGTTCCCTTTCCCTCTTGTGCCCTTTCCTCCCCAGGGAAGGGGGCCTGGCGCCCTCTCCTGTTCAGCATCTGGAACTGTTGGCTCCTGCCTGCCAGGCCCCAGGGGAGACTGCTCTCAGCCTCCCCTTCTCCCAGGCTTTGGCCCCCAGAGACAGACACACCCCATGGGGAAGGGCACAGCTGGTGGAAAAGTGTGGTAAAGCCAAGCTAGTCTGCCTGCTCGACCCCAGAGCAGGCTTCAGATAAGAAAAGGAAAAGCAAGTGTATAAGGAGAATCTCAGAGCCTTGCAGATGTTGGAGCCTGAAAGCAATGTAGATGTTTGATCCAGGGAAGATTTCTCCAGGCATAGTGTCTCTATGTCATAGTGTCTACTCAAATCCTTGCGGTTGTGAGTCTGAAGGTCCGGGGTCAGGCTTGGTATGTGCAAGTGGAAGTGAGTCCTTCAGTTACATGAGGGGTGCAGTTCTGGTGCCCCTCGCTTGCGCTGCAGCAGGGAAGGGTTTGCTTGGGACACAGAGTGAACCAGTTTGCTTGTGAGGATAATTCTGTTCCCACCATATCACTGCTCCTTCTGCCACCACATCCCCACCCCCTGCCACGTCTTCTCTTTTCCTTTGCTCCCCTGTGACCACCTCACAGACACTCACTGCCCTCACGTTAGAGCCCTGGTCCTCTTGGTTCAAGATGGAGTTTCCGGCTCAGGTTCTCACCTCCCTTCTCTAAGGAACCTGGAGCCTCTTCATCAGGGGTGACTGTGAACCCCGAGGGCAGCTTCCCATGTTACTACTTCTGGGCTGTTATGGCTAGGCCAAGCTAGCATGCTGAAGCCAAACATCTCAATAATGTATTAAGGAGTGCAAGCCCATGAGAATATATTTGAGGACTGGGGTCCTGTTATGTAGGCATCAGTGACTTCCACCTCCATTTAGGAAACCTGGGTGATGCTAGAGGTCTGGAATCACTCCTCGGAGCTGAGAGCATTGGCCAGAGGTCATCGCTGCACTTTTAACCAACAGGCCCTTGAGGATGACCTGGGTCCTGCGTAGAACTGCAGACCACAAATTTAATTTGCTGGTGGGAGCTGGCAAGGGGAGGGGTGTCGGCAACTTCCCTCCCTCTAGGAAGAATGAAAATATCAGGACATTTGCTGTGTCTTGGGTTTTATTAATTGTCATTTTTCTTGATCATGAAACAAAGATCTGTATTTATATTGTCATTCAACAAAACTGAATCATTCAGATATTCCAACATGGGACAGTCAATTGGTAATTCAAAAATAAGTATGAGCTCAATAAAGAGTCAGTAGAAGAAGGAAATGTGCCGTGATCAAACCTGAGACTTCTCAGGGGTGGAGGAAAAGAGGCATGGAAAAGGATGGTATAACTCTGCAAAGAGGAGCGAAGTTTCATAATGAAGAGACCTCATGGTGGTTAGGGGAACCCTTGGGAGGCTAGAAAGCAGGAGAAGTTTCCAGAATAGAGGTGGCAGCAGGAGGAGATATAATATAGGGAAAGGGGAGAAGCAGTGTCCACAGATTATAACATATCGCACTATTCATGAGTTCTGGCCAAGAAAGTGAGGCAGAGGCAAGGAGGACTGTGAGTCTTTTGTGCGTGGCAGTAGGGTTTGGGCTTTGTCGTGGGGCGGTGTGAAACACTGAAGTTATTTTCAGCAGAGAGAGGTAGGGTCCCATCTGTGTTTCCGAGGTAGAATTCTGAGAATCATCTGAGGCATGATTGAAAATCTACTTTTTAAAAATCAACTACTATGAAAGACACATTGGCATTAATGCCCCCTCAAAATACCCTCTGTCTTCAAAATATTTGCCCTATCATTTTTGCCTATTTCTGAAGCAATCTGGCAGTCTTCTGAGGTGAGTATCTTTAGTTGTGTTGTCATGGCTGCACTGATGTCCTGAACTCATTCAAAACGTTTGCCTTTCATGGTCTTTGGGGAAGAGCTAGGAGTCTCATGTTGCCAGATCTGGTGAATAAGGTGGGTGAGGACACATTCTGATGTCTTTATAAGCCTTTCCTTGCATGGGCTATCACTCAGGAGTATCACACCTCATAAGACACGCCAGAAAGGGCACTTTCAAAACTGCTTCAGAAAGTGGTCAGAGCAATGGGATATGCATGTCCCCAAGTGATGACTGGGGTGGTAGAGGTGCTGGGTTTGAGGAGAAATAGTGGTACTGTGTCTTCTACTGTACTTTTTTAACACTGTGTTTTTCACTCACCCCTTGCACACTGACTGTCACCCCAGTTCTCATGCCTGCTTAAGTGTGGGATGACCTGAAAGGCCTCATTTTTATCCAGACTTGTGAGGAACATGCTCCTGTCATTACGTGGGCTGACTGGGTGCCCATGCAGGAGTATCCAGCGCTTTCTCCCTGGGAGCACCACCTCTAACTCAAGAGGTCACAGATGGTCAGAACAAGCTGTGCTCCGTACCTCTCTGTAGACTTTCACATTTCATAAGATAATTTTTAAAATTATTATGATTTGCTCATGCTGGAGATTGAGCCCAGAACTCCTGCATGCTAGAATGGTGCCGTACCACTGAGCTTTACCTCCATCCTACACAAGATATGCACTTAAATGCACTATGTAATGTGACACTTCCAAAACCCCGACTGCTATGAGTTATGGTAGACATCGAGGCTCAACTAAGGAGAGTGACTGCTTATATCCCAGTAAGTAGCACAGTCGGGCTCTATCTGTCTCTGTCACTCTGATTCCAGGATTCTGTTTCTGCTTCTACCCATCACTGCCATGTACCCTATTTCTAACAGCCAGTGCGAGTCATTGAGAGAGCTGATAGGAGAGACAGGACACAGTACATAGCTTCTTTGATATCTTATTTAGACTCAGGGCTTATTTAAGCTATACTTAAACATGGGCATTATGTATATCTATGACTCCAATAACAGCATTTGTAGGAAATGCATCTTGAACCTCATTCTTCTTGCAGCCGAAGAAGACTTCACCTCGGTGGTCTCGGAAATCATGATGTATATCCTTCTAGTCTTCCTCACCTTGTGGCTGCTCATTGAGATGATATATTGCTACCGAAAGGTCTCAAAGGCTGAAGAGGCAGCCCAAGAAAATGCGTAAGTCCAAAGATGATAACTATAGCTACCATCTTCTGAATGCTTGCTGTCACAAGTGAGGTGTTAAGAAATCAATATACATCCTCCATCTTCCCCCTTTTATCAACTGAGGTGGGCACTCTACCCATTCTATGGATGAAATATTGAGTCTAGAAGAGTTTGCCTGAGGCCACTGTAGGAGGCCAGTTGAGGTTTGAATTGAGGTCTGCTCACCCATGGCTTACACACTTTAACTACTAAGGCAAAGCCTGTCAGCTGCCACAACACCATAAAGTTAGCATCATTAGAACATTTTATAAATATTAAAGGAAGCTCATAGAAGTTTTGTGGTTTCCTGAGACCAGACATATGGTGAGTAGAAAAACTGGGATTTAAACCCAGGCCTCCCTAATCCTAATGCCCATGCTCTTTCTGTCACATTCGGCTGTTTGCTCTGCACCATGGAGTTTACCCGTCCATCTGGGCATTGCCTTTTATTAAATAAAGAACTCTAAGCAATATGGTTTCCTTCTCTTGGAACATAGCAGCAGATGAATACCCAGAGTAGGGACTCTAATGTCCAGCTGTACCTTTATGCCTCTAGATACTGAGCAGTAAGCACATGAGAGAATGAGGGGTCTGTCTGTGTAAGAACAGAGCCAGCTTCATTTTGCATGAAGTCTGTGATCTCAGGGAATTGATAACTATAATTAACCATGTGCATGGGGAGCTGGAACTGTCACGCTGAAGAAGGCTGTAATTCCTGGTGACCTGGTTGTATTTTAGTGCTTGAACTGGAAGTGCTCATGCTTGGACAGAACATACGCAGGCTTGTACAGGAAGTGCCTGAGATTGGACCCCCCACAAGAAACAGGGTTCAAACTAAGGCCTCAGCAGAGCCCGAGGCTCCCGAGAGCTACCACTTGCACAAAGGGTAGACCAGAAACCACCAGCCCGCCAGCACGAGGAAAAGCCAAGGAAATGTATCCATGTTGGCCTGACTCCAAGTAGAAAAATAAAAGATTCTGGAGAATTACAAACCTCAAGCCTCCTCTTACAGTGTTCGGGATTTAAATGGGTAGTTTTCACATTATTAAATGTGTTCTCCACTTACAATATTTTCAATGAATGTGTAATGTCACCACAAATTAAGGAGCATCTATATGTCCTCAATAGAATAAATAAACCTCTACCTAAACACCAGCTACCTTCCAACCTAGAAATAGCAGCTACTAAGGTAGCCAGCAATTGGAAGGAAGCTCTGTAATACTGGAAACATATCAGGGATACCATCTCTTCTTGCTTCTAGGCAGTATTGTATGGTATTGCAGATCTTAGATAGTATGCTAAATAAGTACAAAGGAAAAAAGGATAATATTTGAAAAGGAAGATACTAAATAATTGTTCACATAGAATAACCAAGACTATCTGTAAGTGAACTATTAGAACTAGTAAGAATATTTTACAAGACTGCTGATACAAATCAAAATTCAGTCATGTGCCACAAGCATTTTGGTCAGTGGCACACCACATGCACTACAAAATTATAGCATTGAGTAATTTACATTAAGTGATTGCCATCTTTTAATTTGTGAAATATTCTGTAGCTGGGGATTTAGCTCAGTGGCACAAGCGCCTGCCTGGTGAGTGCACAATCATGATCCCCAATAACAAAACAAAAACAAACAAACAAAAGGAGCCAGGCGTGGTGGCTCACACCTGTAATCCCAGCACTCGGAAGCCTAAGGTGGGAGGATCATTACGAGTTTGAGACCAGCCTGAGCTATAAGTAACTCAAGGCCAGCCTGAACTGCATAGTGAGACCCCATCTCAAAAAAAGATGAAGAAAAAAAAAGGAAAGAAAGAAAGAAATTACATTCCATTACATGATCATACAGTACAAAACTGCCTACTGAAGCCGGTGATACAGCTCAGCGGCTCAGCACAAGGTTGTGCTAGCACAAGGTTGTGAGTTCAGTTCCCAGCACAAAAAAAAAAAAAAAAAATTCGCCCAGGGACACGTTTCTCAGAACATGTCCCTATTACAGAGTAGCGCATGACTGTATAAAAATCATAGGCCAACAACAAATTTACAAACATTTAAGTATTTAAAAATATTAATACAACAATAAATATTGTCCAACACCTTGAAATAAATCTGACAAAAATGTACAAGATTTTCAAGGAGAGAATTATGAAACCTTATAGAAAGATATAAGCCAAAGCAAATAGATTTAGGAGAATGTCTCGCTATTCTAAACAGTTCTCTCTCAAGTTAACCTTCAAATTCAATGAAATTTCAATCAAAATCCTCTTTTTTTCAGACATTTGATAAACTGATACTTTTTTCTTTTTTGCCTGGCCAGGAATTAAGCCCAAGCCCTTACAAGCTGGTTGTTTTTTTAGTTTTTGTTTTTGATTTTGTTAATTTTGAGATGGCGGTCTCACTGTGTTGCCCAGGCTGTGCTTGATTTCCAGTCTTCCTGTCGCAGCCTCCCCGAGAGCTGGGATTACAGACATGTGTCATCATGCATTGTCATGCCTAGTCTGATGAACTGACCTTAGAAAATCATCTCAAAGGCCAAAGGACTAATAATAGTCTATAAATCAAAGGACAACCAGGTAGTAAATATTTTAGGTTTTGCAAAGCTCCCCAGTTCACCGTCCACGTTGTTCTTTGGTTTTGCTCGTTTGCAATGCTTTACACACGTAACAGCCATTATTAGCTTAGAGGTCATGCATTGCCAGTCCTTCAGCTATATGACCACAGAGAAATATCAGTGCATGAGGCAGGTGGCCAGTAGGGTTTACTAACTGTCCATGAAGGGCTGGAGCGAACATTTCTTATCCATATAGGAATACGAGATGAGATTCCTCATCTTTTCCACTAAACAAAAATAAAACTGCAAGTAAATTTAAAGGCAAAAAAAGGTAAAAATTAAAAATTCTACTAAAGGAAGATAAGCGGATATCATTATTACCTGGGACTAGTTTGAATTTTTTTTTTTTTTTTTTTTTTTTTGGTATTGGGGAGCTAACTCACAACTTTGCCAGGCAGGCGCTTACACTGCTGAGCTAAATCCCCAGCCCTTAGTCAGAATTTCTTAAATAAAAAATAAAAGTACAATTCAAAAGGGAAAACTGCTCATTTTCATTATATTACATTGCAAAAATCCATTGTTCATGATAGGACAGCTACAAAAAGTTACAAACAACAGACTGAAGAAATTTTCAGGATGCTACACTATCAAAGAAAAATCAGTGCCAAAATGACAAATATCAGAAGAAAAACTGGAGAGGCATACAGTCAAATTACAGAAAGAGAAACTGATAGCCTCTAAACAGATGAAAACATGCTTAACATCAAAATTAGAAAATGAAAAGTAAAATGATTACAAAACACAGTTTCAAGGGCTGGGGATTTAGCTTAGCGATATAAGTGCCTGTCTGGCAAGCACAAGGTGGTGAGTTTGATCCCCATGTAAGACCGGTGTCACAAGGAAGACTCCAAGGGCCTCGCTCTCATGTAAGAACAATGGGGTTTTTATTGGTCCGTGTACACAGGGTCCTCCAAACAGGTGGAAACAGAGAACTCTGAATTGGGGCAGGGCTGGTGTTTTTAAGGGGGAAAAACTGCAATGTAAGCGTTTATTACAGAAGCCAACCATTACAGTTAGTGCGGAGCGGTGGGCATCTTATCTATCTGCTATTGGTCAGTTCATAAGGGGTGACCAGCAGGTCAGAGTTAATTAACTGTCTTTGTTCTGCACAACTTGTCTTTAAGACACCTGGTTTCTGTAGACTTGAGTCTGACATATTTTACAACCCTGATTAGCGCAATGGCAGGCTCTATCTCTGAGTTCCCTGGCACAGCACACCCCGAGCATATCACAGCCACAGAGGTTGTTTTTATTTCTGCAGGGCTGAGTTAGGACTGAGTCATGAGGCCCAGTGCTGTTTCTGGCTGAGAAACAGCATCTTGTTTTTAACCTTTAAATTTCTGGTTCTACACCTGGTACCAAAAAAAAAAAAAAACAAACCCAGCAGTTTTCAGTGTTTGGCTTGTCTTTTAATCTGACAGCAGGAAGATGTAGATAAATGTGAAGACTGAGGCAAGGCTGACCTGACAGAGTGTTGGTACTCAGATCTCAGATGTGGGAGGAGCACAGTACTCTAACCCTCCAGAAGGATCCACTACCAGAGGAAATGCAGAGCTCTTCTGAAGACAGCCTTGCCCCTGGGCCCCGCTCCTTCCTCTCTGCGTTCCTTCTGCTGCATACTGAGGCCCTGGCCCTGTCCCCCCTCCCGTGTCATGCGCAGGTCTGACTACCTTGCCATCCCATCAGAGAACAAGGAGAACTCTGCAGTACCCGTGGAGGAGTGAGGCGCCGTGACCTGAGGTGATGTATAAGGACTCAGAAAGGGAAGGGGAATGTGGGCAGCAGGTTGCAAGAGGGACTTTGTCATCTACAACGGAAGTGAATTTCCATTCGGTCCCTTAGGTCCATTTCTACTCTGCTCAGTGTGCCCGCCCTCAAGGTGAGTGCTTTAAGTTGGTGCCCAAGTAACAAAGCTCTGTATGCTGCCAAGCTCTTCAGAAGGTGAAGGACTTTGGCTTGAGTGCGAGGCAACCTAAACTCATGGTCCCTGGTCACCAAGGCATAGTAAAGCTCTCATTGGCACTTGTGATAAGTGTCTTCAGGTTGGGCTGGGCTGCATTTCTCAGGCAGTTGTTTTGTTGGTAGGTGGCCTGCACACGGAGGGACTGGCTATCTCAAGTTCAGTGATGTCAACAGCATCAGGAGGGTCCCCCAGTGGCCCCATCACTTCCTTCCTGCATCATCTTTCTACACAGCCATCACGCATCCACCCACCTCTAAGCTTTCCCTGCTGACTTCTTGACTCTATCAGAACTCTACACACCGTAAGACTTGGCCAGAACTAAGGAGCCAACATTTCTACACAGATTCAGCCTCACCCTGGCCTGGCTTTCAAAGCAAGCAGCTCCCATGCCTACTGGATTTCTCCTCTATACTCCAAGTAGACGCTGTACAAGTGCCGGCAGTAGCTAGCTCGTTGGAATTGGCTCATTCTCCATTACTGCAAGAGAATGTCTTACTAGTGGGAACAAGCAATTAGCTGAGTCACACCAAAAGCATGTCATGTAATTGAACTCTTTGAAGTCAGTTTTTTTCAAGTTCCTTGGCCCACGAGCTAGAGCACCAGAGAAAGCTTGCTTCTCTAGATTCTCCAGTGACACAGATCCTTAAGTGCAGACTGACATGCTCTCTGGAGCTTAGGACGAGATCCCCATAGGCCTCTGAGGCCTGCATTGGATGCAGTCTGGAGAAGCAAGGGCAAGAGACTTGGGAAGGACCAAGGACAATTTCAGTGACTCAAAAAAGCCATACGTGTTCCTGATCGTATTGGGATGATGTGTGTGTGTCCTTCCTAGAGCACATATTGCCTGTGGTCTGGGACTGGAATTCCTAAATTCTTCCTTTCAAAATATCTGTTGTTCAGTATTATTCTGCGTTTTACGGGAGGCATCTGAGACTCACACAGGGCTCAACTGGGTAAGAAACTTAAGTGAACAAAGGGGAGCAGTGATAGGCTCTGGGTGCGGCCCAGTTTGCTCCCTGAGTTTAGGGATTTGTTTTGGAAAAGACTTTGACCTTGAGCTTGGCTGTGGCCACTCCTCGAGCAGAAGCACAAATGTGGGGAGAGTGATCCAACTGGGTATAACGGTGACAAGTCCCAGGAACCAGAAGCTGGCCAAGAGAGCAGAGAGGAGGATGAAAGGTAGACGTGAAGAGTTTCCTATTAAAGTCTGTGAACCTGAAATGTCTTTCAGAACCAGATGACACCATTCAAACCGAGAGCAGTGCCTGCGAAGCTGGGTGGGTCGGCACATGTGTACAGCATGAGAGGCAGTGGGGGTGCGTCATGAGCCCGGCCTGGGAAGATGAGCAACTCAGAGACAACCTGTCTCAAATTTTTAAAAAACAAAAAAGGCTAGGGATTAGGGATGGAGCTCAGTGCAAATCCCTAGGAGAAGAGACAGACAGATAGAAAGAAAGGTTTTTTAGTCTGAGGTAGATGGTGAGCAGAGTTAAGGGAGAAAGATCGTGGCTTCTAAATACCTTGCCTATGAATCTGTAATGGTCACAGGTGTTTGTTTGTTTTCCTCCTAGGTTTAGAGAGAACAGAGAAACAATGAAAAAATTTTGGTGACATTTTCATTTTAATTAAAGACTGGGCCAAGTACAGTATCCTTCAGCACCTAATGATAAGTAAAAATAGGAAGATAAACGGACTAGGATTCAATAAAAGGAACGTTCCTCAGATCTGGGGAAAAGTATGGGGACGATGGCTCTATGTTGGCTTCGGATTCCACCTGACAGGTTCATTTTTCTGCATCTCTTCCATCTCTGGGGCCATGTTTGAAACAAGATCCTTAACAGCTTTTGAAGAATTCCATTTTCTTAAAAAAATATTTGCCGTAAATTCAAGACTTCTTGTTCGGAATTTTCCATACTGTTCTTCTGAAATAGGGGAGGAAATATGGGGCATTTTTCTGACTTTAAAGAACACAGGCCTGAGTTAGTGGGAGGCTTCCCCAGCCGCCAGGCTGGCTGATGCCCAGCTTGCAGAAGTAGCAAGTGGATGACACCCCTAATGCATAACCATAGAGTATGCATGGATGGTTTTTTTCTTTTCTTTTTAAATAAGCTAACTCAGATGTTTTCTGGGTTATTTTTAATGAAGCTGGATGATGCTGGTGATTTATCCTTTACAAATCATCTTCTCTCTTCTCTTCTTTTTTCTAACTTTTCATCTCTTCTCATCCTGATGTTTTCATTACAGCTATAGGACTTGCAAAGGATTTTCATGTCAGTTGTTTCATTTCTCCTCCACAGCTGATCTAGTGAAGTGAGCTTTATTAACACCCAGTGAAGAAATGGAGGCTCTCTGACATGAGGAAGCTTTATCAAATTACCACCAGATCAGCAGAGAGCTAGAATATGGGTCTTCTGACTTCTATTCCAGTATCTTCCCACATAGACCATATCTGCTTCCTTTCTTAATTTTCCTCCACCTCTTCACTTCTGTTGCTTCTTTGATGTTCACAATCCTCTCTCAGCTCCCACTTTCTTCCTTCTCAACCCTTTTGCTTCTTGGTGGATGCTAGAAATGTGCATCCTATTCTAGTTCTTTTTCATCATTATTTCTCCAGAAACACAATTAAACTCCTCGCTGGGAGGCTTGGTCATGACTCTAAATGCACAGGGTGCTGTGATCACCAGCTTACTTAAAATCCCTGCCCACCTTGCTTCTCCCCATAACCAAGACAAGACCCGGGCTAAACACGTGTAGCACTGGAAGCTTTACCTGGTGTGCTGTTGCTTATTAAAGGGCTTAGAAGAGTTCTCAAGGGCTATACTCACTTTGGAAACCCCATCTGTTGTCTTGGTGCTGTGTATTTCCCATGACGGATGCTCAGTAATGCAGTTCACTAACAGCCAAGCTATGCTGGGTCTGATTTTCCCTATCTTGCTGCTAACAGCTATGAGCTTGATCACTTGACTCAGTGGTCCTGAAAGCACCTTGCCCTTCTGACCTTGCTGTCAGCTCAGTCTCAAAGGAAAGCCCCAAGCCTGTGTGGAAATCCTTGGACAACCAGTGCCTGTTCCTACCCAGCCTTCATCTTCATGGTCTGCTGAACAGCATTATGCTTTGGTTTCTCCGTTCCCAAACATCTAGACCTTCGTTGAGGCTGTTTGCTCCTTAGATGTCAAACCAGAGATATTAGCAGGAAAGGAGTTTTTCAAAGCAGGAATATACTGGGAATGTGTCGTGAATGGTTTCAAAGGAGACCGTAATGCCCTCTTCTCCCAACTACTACAGCAAAATGCAAACTATGAGCTAGGTGTGCTGGCTACTAGAGAATAAAGCAGGTGGGCCTCTTGCGCCCATGAACTTGAAACCAACCTGGATAGTGAGGCTCCATCACACATGCACACACTACACTTTTCTTAAAATCTGTGAATTCACTTAACATAAATCGAAGGGAAAGGCTGTGTGATTGTATCTTTACAGTGTGAAAGAAAAACATGAGCCATGTCAGGCGTAGTAGTGTATATATGTAATCCCAGTGCTTGGGAGGCTAAGGCAGGAGGACTGCCATGAGTTTGAGGCCAGCTTGGGCTATATAGTGAGTTAAGTCCAGGCTGAACTACATAGTGAGACCCTGTCTCAAGAAAGAAGACCAAAGAAAAGAGCTAGATATATTTGAAATATACCTTCTTTCCCTCTTCCCAATTTTGCATGAAAATGGAAAAACAGGTTAACAGGAGGAAAAAAGCCTTCCCCTCACCTTTTTGTAAATGACAAAGCCTGAACTCAGTGAACTCACCTGATGTCCACAAGTGTATCTGTCTGATTAATTCTCGGTGTGCTTGCTTATCCACCTGATGGTTCACTTTCCAAACGTCTTGCAGCACACCTAGAAACCACGTGGCCCCCATGATCTTATGCCTGAAAAATGGCATCACTCAGTCCTCCGTCCCTAAAAGCTAACACGGTGGACATGTAGTTTAGCTCAGCCCGTTTCCTCTGCCTGGAGTGTGTTATGATTCCAACTCTGGTCTCTTTGTAGGCCAGCTAAACACCAGAGCCAGTACTGCTCTGTCTTTTCTCTTCCCACCAGGCCAGAGCTGCAACGCCTGGGCAGTATGTGTAAAAGGCAGGCAGACAGAAGAATTTGTGCTTATGAAATGAAATGCCACCAACCACTTAGCAAATGCCTAGTCTTGTGACAGATGGAACAATGTCACCTTCACATTGCATTTTCGTGATCTTCTACAGCCAGTCTTTTATTGAACTATAGAAATGCTCTTCCTGACCACCCAAGACCTCCACAGCCTAATACCTGTATGTACTGTTTTTCAGTAAATCCCTAGTTCCTGTCAATAAAGTGTCTCTAAAAACCATGGGCTCTGGTTTTGCTGTACTTACTGAGTGTGTCAGCTAGAGATATGGCTTTTACCTAAGCACCCCAAACTGCTTTAGAGATCCCTGTACTCAATCAGTGGATGTACCTAGAGAATAGAAAACGTGTTTTATAGCCCAGAGTGAAATGTACACTACATATGTTATCTAGCTTTTCTTCCTTCCTTGCTCTCCTACCCAAATAAAAAAGGATACAAGAGTAATTTGAGTTTTTGCATGGCGTAGACCAAGTTTCCTAGCTGGGTGGTGAGGAGCTGACTGCAAAGAGCTCCCAAAAGGGATACGCATGGCCCTCGGCTCTGCCACTTTAGGTAACATAAGGCTGGCAAAGTCCATCATCCTGGAAGTGTCGAAAGGGGATGTATAAAAAGAAACTCTCAGGATTCAGTCTGCCACTCCTATTATGGTACTGACTGAGATTTAAAGTTGTCTCGGTGCAGTACCTGTCACCACACTCTAAGACACATGCACTTTAAAAACAAAACACTGACATGATCTGTAAGGCACGGAGGGTTGGAGTGGCGGGTGGAGCCCAAGGCCACAGTACTGGCAAACAGTGATGCTGCAGCTTGAACTCAGGCCACTGCATTGATCAGGCTGCCCGCTGGCCTGAGGTGGACAGCTGGGAAGACCAGAGCATAGGTGGGAAGAAGGCTAGAAGCATTTGGGGTGATGAGCTCCGTTGAGTTGAAGCAATAAACACACACACCGTGATCTGTAATTCAATACTTTTTTCTTTTAATTTGTACTGCACTTCCATGGCTCTAGCTACTTTACATTAAGATTTGGCTGGGTAGCCATGTAGGTTTCTAGGTACTAGCAGTGTTTTCAAACCTTGCGCACAGCGCCAGGCAGAGTACAGTTACAGATCCAAATACAGACAGCCAGACAACTCAACTGCAACTAACCTGTGTTCTTCCCCACATATATGGCCCAGTGCAGATGTTGGGGCTGTTCCCTCTGCCTCACCCCGTCCCACCCCATGTCAGGAACATGTGGTGGCCGACGTAGCCTGTGGTCCATCCCTCCCCATCTTGGAGCCTAGGTTAAGTGCGGGAGGAGGAGCACCATGGGTTTGGGAAGATGGTCTGGTCCATGCAGAGAGTGGTCTGACCCTAGAGTGCAGGGTAAGGAAATGTGGGGAGCCACATTCTTTCGTTGGCAAAAATGGTTGCTTTTACTGTGCAGTCTCCACAAGGCCACCGAGCCCAGGGCCAGCTCCCCAGACAGAGCCAGCTGTCCTGCCTGGGGCATGTGCTGCTATTTTGCTTCTACAATGTCTTATTGTGTTGAGAGACGCAAGGAGGGCCAAGAGGCAGAGATGACAATGTCCTTCAAGCCTTCATGTGTTGGGGAGATCGTCTGGCATCAACAAATCTTGGCAGGCAAAGTGCTTCTCACCAGGAGCCAAAGGTCCAATCTGGGCTCCCAGGCCTGCTGAGGACCACGAGTCTCAAGACCCCTGAGCTGTCGCACAGATCATCAAAACAGGGAGCTGGCTAGGCCCTTCACAGCCATGGCCGGAGCAAGAGTGAGGTAAACAAGGCTGGGCAGAGAGGTGGGAGGGGGAGCTCTCTACACCATGTGCAAATTCCTGCTCCGCATCAGGAAAGCAGGGGTGTTGAAAGGTGTCCTTCCAGAAGTAAACTCGTTGTAGACCCAAAATGCATCTTCTGGAAGAAGACGTAGGTGAAAGGGAGGGGGCCAGCCTGCTGGAGATTGAAGGAGGAAGGACCAAGGATGTCAAGGGACGCATGGGATGATTGTCCCACAGACTAGGGGTGGGGAGGGAGCCGGGTGCAGTTTATACGGGAGTATGGTTGGGTCCTGGGATTCGAGGAGTGGGGGCACAGCCCTGCCATGGAAGGGAGGAGACAAGAGTACTATTTCTCCAAGGGGCCCTAGCAGGAATGGGCTGGTTTGGCTGCCCTGCAGAGCTCAAGTGGTGTGATATGGCACAGAAAGGGCCTCTCTGGGACCATAGACCGTCCAGAAAGATTCTGCTCCAAGACTTCACCCTAGACATGCTGCCTGCAAATACCATAGGTGTAGTCCAAGTGTGTGGCGGGCAGGGACAGGACACGGAGAGAATCCACTTCCAGCAAAAGATTCCTCTTAAGGCCTCTTGGTCCCCCTTACTCCTTGTAATCAAAGGTTCTTACTGCCGCTGCCCATAGGCAGCTTGAGGACTTTATCTAACCACAGCAGAGTTTTTTGTTTGTTTTGGTTGAACCCAAAGAGAAGTGCTAGAATCAGAAGTGGCTTCTCTCCACTGTGTCCTCTGTGGAGGAGCAGGATAGATGGAAGGAGCCTAGAGACGGAAGGGAGGCGCAGTTCAGGATTCGGCTCTTCTTGCTATCAGTGTACTTCTGCTAGGTTAGAAGAAGTTCCTTTCCCAGATAGGAACTAGACCCAAGAAGGGAAAACCACGCCTAGGTTAATACTGAACAACAATCTCTCTGCCTCTGGGCCTCCCTACTCCTCCTGGACCCCGAGAACAAAGTCTAACCACTGCAGGTTTCTCGGGAACCCACACAGGGCCCTACTGTCTACTACACAGCGGAGAAGCTCTGGTCTAGAAAACCACTGCCTCCTGCCAGACAACCTTCCTATCCCGGGAAAGGCCAGTCGTGAGGCTCTAGCCCAATCTCAATCAAAGCCAAAGCTCGAACCTGCCCTTCAGATGGCCCACCCCAGCCTCCTGTTACAGGTGTGTACTGAAGCTCTACAATGAAGAATCACACAGGTCCGGTCTCTGGACTTTTGATTCAGTGCTCTTTCTGAGTGTCCAGTCACTGAGCTTGCTGGCCCTGGATGTCAGCCTCTTGTCTCAGGCAGGGAAGGGGGTAGAGTTGCAGACATGATTGGCATTTCCAAGGCCAGCCTGGTCACCGTAAGCAGGAGGGGAAGGGTAGATCCTGTAGTCATGTTTCCCTGGTTAGAAACTGCAAACTCTTTAGAATTAAATACAAAGTCTCATGTGTGTCACCACATGAATCCTTGCGGATAAACATCTGTGTGATTCCAGTGTTCCCATGTCAACAAAAACAAAACGTACTGACAGGAAGCAGTAACTGATGCTTTGTCACAGACAGGACACGCCAGGCTACTGGCAGGGATCACAGTGCCACGCGACTGTCTCACTTCCAGACTTGTCCGAGAGGGTGAGTTTTTCTTTTCTCAAGTTACTGGCTAAGGGGAATCCTACTGTGGTTGGGAATGCAAAGAGTTGTTGGTCATCTTCTGGCTTAAAAGCCAAACCAATTATTGAACAGAGAGAGTTCTGGAAGGACCCATGACTCTCAGGAGACACTCCCCATATGTACACATCGCCTCTGGGTCCAATTCAGCAGTAACCGAGGGTGCCTTGGACAAGCACCCTCCTCCTGACCTACTGCTCCTCCAAGTGATCCAGAGAGCTGAGCAGTAGAGTGTACCTCACAGGGACCAGGCTACTTCTGTCACTTCATTCCCAGCAAGCAACTTCTAAACCTGCTCAAAGGGCCCATGAAACCTTTCATAGTTAATGACTTGAGTCAACAATTATGTGTGGAATACATTTGAGAATTTACAATTTCTGCTCTTCACAGTTTCAGGGGATGATTTTGGCTTCTGGCTACTCTAAGGGGCAAATATCCAGCATTCTGTTCCATGCTTCCTTCTCTAAGGGTTATGGAGCGTGACCCTCTCCAGTGTCTCTCCCTCAAAGTACCGGACAAGAACTGAGAGTCACCACTGGCCTGAGGGCACACACACCTTTGGGGACCACTTCCCTGAGCCAAGGCATCAGCCCTGCTCCTCTGGAGAGGGACATCAGTGGTAGTTGAACGACTAACTAATGACAGACTTCTCATCTATCTGCCTCACAGGTGATACAGGTGTGCATCCTTCTGTTTTCTGATTCTGCTCTTAGGAAAATGCCACGGCCTTAATCTTGGATAGACTGGAAAGTCAACAGGCTTTTGTTTAACTTCCAAAATGGGATGCTAAGGTCTTCCTAAAGAAGGCTGGGGGAGGTAGATCACTGATGAAAAGCTTCCATCCTTGGTGCTGTGGTTCTACACACACTAGGGTTCTCTTCTACTCCTTGCATCAAGGAGAGCCTAGGAGAAGGAGCAGGCTCTGAGAGCTCTCCTTGCCTTCACTGACCACAAACCGCCTGGCCTCTGTCTGGGGCTGGCAGGCCTCCTTCGGTCAGCAGATGGGGAAAGGCTGGTATATGAAGGGTGGTGAACTTGCCCAGAAGGGCCCCATGAGATCAGATGAAAGCATGGCCAACTCTAAAAAGACCCAGGATGGCTCCGGCCCTAACCCAGCATCTTCTTTCTGTTCCTCAGTGACCACACATTTGTCTGGAGCAGAGGTCAGAGAAGGATGTGCTCAAGCCTGCGGCAGAACCCCCAGGCCCAAAGCTGAGATGGTCAGCAAGGAAATGGCCCCTGTGAGGCATCTGGTCCCCCCCCACCCCCGGCCCCTATCTATAACCAACTCCTCCTCTCCCTTGGCTCAGATGCTCTTCTACAAGCAAAGTGTCTCAGCCCGTGGTCTCCACTGAATGAATCTGGTTTTGAGGAAGATCCTGTAGTCCACACTGGCTAGAGACTTCTCTCTCTCTCTCTCTAAAACCTGCAGGGCCTAAGATACCCTGATTCATCCTAGAAATCAAATTCATAGCTCAAATGGAAGGAATTAGAGCCACAGATTTGACTTGTTCATAACCACAAAAAGGGGTTTAACAAGGTCAAAAATGCTCCATCCTGGCTAATAAACAGCGTGCTCTTAGGGCACAGAGAAACAATAGGACTTTAGGCACTAAAAAGTGACAGTTCGCCCAGATCCAGCCTGGGCGAAAACCAGAGAGAAAGGGGGTGGGCAAGTTAGAAATCCCCAGCCCTTATTGGGTCCACGTCCTACCCAGATCAGAGCAAGGCGCAGGGGTGGTCAAGGGGAAACCTTTCCGAACACGAGTGAAGCCTGCAGCTCCAAAGCCCGAGCTCACCGACGACGCTGCCGCCGTGCTAGATTCTCCCAGCCCTCCCCACCAGGCTCTGGGCAAGGTCCGCAGCCCTGGCCTCCTAGCCAGGAGCTGAGATCAGACTCCTGCTTGGTGTTCAAGCGAACACCAGGGGGGAAGCTCGGGGAGGGGAGGGAAGAACAGATTCTCTTTTATTCTGGAAACCAACCGAAAGGGAGTCAGGGGATGAAGCACCTTAGGCAATGCCCCCAGTGAGACTTCTTTCAGGACCTGAGGGTCTTCCCAGGCATAGCTTTGGCTCAGCAACCTTTCCCTTCTGGGAGCCAAGAATGGCCAGCAAGGGAAGGGGTGAGGAGCAGAGGGTGGGAGAGGAGGGTCAGGGGATGTGGGTGCGGAGAGCTGCTCCCCGCCCTCCTCGGCCCCTCCCCCAGGGGAATCGCTGCTCCGGCTGGCACGGGGCGGGCGGGAGGGCCCGCTCCTTCTCCCTGGTATGTAGGCATTATCTCTTTTTAAAATCTGTATATAATATATATATATATATTTATATTCTCTCTATATATTTATATTTATATATTTATAGGGTCTATGTACACGTATTGCACCGGCCTCCTGCAGCCACCTCTGTTCCTGCCTTGTCAGTGATACCGGTTCCGCCTCTCGTCACTGTCTGATGTGTAGTCCCGGGACCTGATGCCATTCTGAAGATTGATGAGCGAGTCTTTCATCTGTAAGACAGGGACCCCACCCCAGGCCCAGGTTGTGTTCTCAGGGCGCGTCTCCTGGCAGCAGCACCTGCAACATCCTGCTACTGTGGCAGGTTCCCCCCTTATCCATGAGCAAAAGGGCGCCAGGGTGGTTCCAGGGGCCACAGTCTCAGGCAGAAGAGGGACCACAAAGCCAGCACCAGAAGCCCCGCATGTGAGGCTTGCTGTGCCTTGGTGCTGCGGGACCCTTATATGAATGAATTCAGGACTCTACACATTCAGGTGCCGTGCAGAACCATGTGAAACTGCTCCTTGACACATAAAGTCATTCTGGTTTTCCACAGGTCCTAATATACTGTCTGCCCATCTTTATGCATTTTGTCACCCTGTCCTCTCAGCCCATGAATTTTCATATTGCTTACTCAAATCCCACTCATCTCTAAAGACCCGGGGCAAACCCAGACTTTCTCTGGCTCTCTGTCTCCTCCCTTCTGGCCTCTCATACATAAACGCTCTGGACTGAGTCATCTTTATGTGTGCAGAGACTGAAACATCCGTAACACAGCCAAAATCACCACGCAGACAGCTGTGCAGCCTTTACGCTGGGTCTCATCAGTGAATGAACATTTTTAAGCCATGGAATGGAGTCTAAGTGGAACAGTTTCAGTCAGAGAATCATAAAATGGCCCAACAGACCATAGCATGTTTAAATACTGTCTCTGAGAAAGCCACTCTGTTATAAGAGAAGATACTTCTTGTAAGAAAGTGGATTCTTAGAACATCTGGTATCGTCTCTCTCCAAATTTCCCACATTCTTTATTTCTCTTTTGAAACTTATTTTTAAAAGGGAATTAAACTAAACATCTTTTGACTGTTGTAGGCAGAGTCCACCAGGTTAAAAACCTGACCGCCCTAAACCCCTAGTTAGGGGACATAATTCCAGAGTTGGAAGAGACCTCTGGGGTGCCAGCCCAAAGTGGCCCTCCTTTAATTTGCAAGTTTCATATTCAGTACCATCTTGTGATTCTTGAACACTTCCAAAGTGAGATTCTCAGTCTTCTGAAGTGGCCTGTTCTGTTGCTGCACAGCTCTAACCATAAGGCATCTGTTTTTATTGGCTGGATTAAATTTTAACTTAATTTCTAGTCCTACTTCAGTCCTTTGGAGTTAGTTTTGCAAGAAACCTAAACCTTCACCCGTTGGTCTGGATGGATCCTGTTATTTTGCTCTTGGTTCGCTTCTCCACCAACTGTCTTAATACCAGGGGACATTCAGACTCTGCTGGGCTTTTACCTTCTTTTGGTTACAAACATGCCCTTCTTGAGCCAGGTGTGGTGATGCATGCCTATAATCCCAGCATTTAGGAGGCTGAAGCAATAGGATTGGCATGACTTTGAGGCCACTTTGGGTTACATGGTGAGTTCAAGGCCAGTTTGAACAATAAAGAGCCTCTATCTCAGAAACAAACAAACCAAATGCGCTCCTTAAAAACAGCTCCAAAGGTGAATGTAAATACTGGGTCTTACGAGTTGTATTAAGACTAATTTACAGCTAAAATTCCACTATGACCACTTTCAGTTCTGACTGTTATTCCATGAAGCTGTGATCACCATGAGGAAGCTGAATCTCACTAAGATTACACCCTTCTCCTCATGGTCACAAACCTATTAATAGCAAAGTTGGGATTCTATCTCAGTTCTAGCCAACCAGGTGACATCAGAATAACACCTTTTTGAGAACAGAAATTTTAATTTAGGGGGACAAGTTTGGAACTCTTTGATTATTTTGCATAGGACAAGAATTTCCCATGGCCTTGGCAACCATATGGGGGCACTTTTATAAAATATCCCATTTTTCTAGAGAAAAGAAAAAGTTATCTTCCTCAAGGCAACTGAACTAATTATTGATTTGTGCCCCAGTCTAATTTCCTTAAATGTGGTTCTTGGAATAGGCTAGTTAACTATATTACACAGACAAGTTGTAAAACAAAGATGTAATATAGTCATCCAGTTTGAGGGTGACTGTAAGTAAAAGAGACAGACAGAAGGAGAGAGAGAAAGAGAGAGACAAAGAGACAGAGAGAAAGAGAGAGAGAGAGAGAGACAGAGACAGAGAGAGACAGAGACAGAGACAGAGACAGAGAGTCATAGAGAAGGAGATGGACAAAGAGACCAAAGTGGACAGAAAGAGAGAAGGACAGAGAGACACAGACAGAAAGAGACAGAGACCAAGTGAGTTCTTATTTCATCTAACCTAGTTCTTATTTCATCTAATTCACAACCTTTCTGTGGCAAACCCAATGTATTGTCATTATTCTAAGGAAGGCATCTGTTTCTAACTGCCCATTCAAAATTGGCTTTACAATCAGAACAATAGGTTGTCTGGGAGAAGAATGAATGGGAGGAGGAAGGACTTCAGGAGAGGGTAGTGACAGAGACCGGACCTCTCTCAGAATTTACAGGGAGCTCCCACTCCTGAAAGCTAGGGGGAGGCGGAGAGGACGGGGCATCTCACCTGGTCAAGGAGCATCACTGAGGATTTGATGATCTCCCTCCACTTTTGGAGCTCAGTATCGTGGTACTTTTGTTGGGACTCTAAGAGCTGGGCCCATTCTGTCTGAGACTGGGGTAACCTGTGGGGCAGAAGAAGGGGCACCCCAGCAGCTGGAGTTATGCTCAGCAGACTGTCCTGTGCTCCCAGACCCCTAAAGGACAGAGAGTCACATCAGAGTGCTTTGACCTCTGCCAACTGCCCCGGGACTCCCATGCCCAAATAACAAGAGGATGACTACAGGAACAGTGTTTTGGAGCTTGCCTAAGAGCTCATCCAAAGGGCTGTCCCCTGGGCAAGGGGGTGGGGTGTCCCAGGGGAGGCAGAGGTCAGGGATCAGCACTTGGTGGGGTACAGGTGGATGTGGTACACGTACAGGGGTGTGGCCAGGATTACCTTTCTTGAAGCCTCAGACCCTGCCAGGCAGTGAGGGTTTGGGTGGTGTATTCCAACATCCAGAGCTTGTAGAAGAGCATCATGTTAAGGAAAACCAGCAGCACCAGACTAGGAGAGAGACGCAGGAATACAGCAGCAGCCATGAGATGGAATCTCAGCCAGGCCTCTCCCCACCCGCACAGGCTGCTGTGCCTGCCCACGGGGCCATCGGAAGCATCTCGGGGAGGACATGAATGAGCCGCAGGGATGAAGGCAGGGGCACAGAAGAGCAGCCTGACCTCCCCCAGGGGCTGAGGGCACAGCAGGAGAGCCATGGAGAGGAGTGTGGGTGAACGCACTCAAAGTGGAGACAGCAAGACACCTGAAATCAGGTGCCGGAGCCAAGGAGGTAAGCGGAGAGGAAACACGATTAAGGGTGAATCAGAGCCAGTACCTGAAACAGATCCTAGTGGGAGCAAGGAGAAAAATGGGGAGGAGGCAGAGGTTAGAAACAGGAGCATGGGAAAGGAGGAAACTGCACTTACACTGAGCCAGAGATAAGTGAGCGTGTAAGAAACACGGACAGCAAAGACACAAGGAATGAGTGTGAACTGGCAGGAAGGAACAGGAGGAAGCGCAGTGGATTTATTTTTAGGTTTCTTGGAGATTTCCTGATCAACTCGATGCTAGGAAGGAAGACCTGGTGGGGTCCCCGGCTCTGCTGGCAGATCTCCCTTAAAGCTGCAAAGGCCCCCCCCCCGCCCTTGTCTCTCAGGGGTCACAGGGACCAGCGGAAGCCTCCCAGGGTCTGAGTGAGAATATAAGAAGGACCCAAGGGCTGGAAGGCCCAGTGGGAAGTGGAGATTCACAGCGTAGAGATAAAACTAGGGGTGAAGAGAGGATTCAGAGACACAGAACTGGCCCAAATCTGGGGTCACCACTTAATTCCTTATCAGGTTTCCCAGCTTCTCTGAAGCCCAGTCTTCTCAATAAGGACATACCCCTACTGAAGTTGGTCCATGGATGGGGAAGAACAGATGTAAAACACTCTGGCGTACAACAGGCCGGCCACGGAGTGGACGGAGAGACACACATAGGAAGAAAGAAGATGACAGAAACAGGAAGGTAAAACAAACAGGTGGGGGAAAAGCTGAGTAATGGGGAAGAAAGCCTTCACTAAGCCTTAAACTTTTCCAAGTGTGTGTATGCGAGTGATTTTTTGGTTTGTGGTCCTGGTACTGTGGAAAGGAGTCTCGATTCAGCCAGCAGCCACAAATCCCTGGGCTCTTCTGCATTCTGGGTAAGCTCTTTCTTAAAGAACTCTGAAGTGTGTGCTGAACTCCAGCGCTCCTGTCCCAAGCTATAGCCATGTGCACTGAGTTATCCGAATGGCCACCTCTTCACGTCATGTCCACTTCTAGGGTCCCGTTTACAACCCTGGTTGTGCTAGAAGGCCAAGGGGCACCCTTGGGTGCTGTGACAGTAAAGACTCTGATTGAGAGAAGAGGCGGGAGGTTGAGTCACCACCCTGCGGGTAGATGCTGGTTAGGGGCTTGCCAGACACTGGCCAAACGGTGCTGTGTCCCTCTGCTGACACAGCCTGGGTCTCGTGTGCTGACATGGAGGGTCTGCTTCTCCTAAAACATGCCTCGGGGCTGGCTGACGCCATGCTTCAAGATTCACCCAAATCAGAATGCAGGGAGCTGACACACAGAATTGACCTCAAGTTAATGTTTTCTATTTACCAAAATCCAATACTAGATGCAGTTATGACAAAAGAATGCCACGAATCACATTAAATTGCTATTGTAAAATGTGATTACTGATTTTACACCTGTCTTCGTACCTATTAATGCTGTAATACTGTAACATCTTGGTTTCTAATGCTATAGTCAGGAAAAATTCTAATCTCCTTTATGTTACACTTCAAATATGCTTAGTAGATTCCTTTAGTTCCTCTGAGGATTTCTTCCTCTAAGGAGTTCCCCAGGGTCATCTCTGGCCTGTCCCTGACACAGGGTATATGCTACTCCACTTACACATGGCCTTAGCACTGTGGGTAATTAGCATGACTCCTAAGTAACAGGTGCACACCAACGAATTCACGCCACCTCCCCCTGCATAACCCGTGACAACTCAGACATTCTGGAACTGAGTGCGCTTCTCGAACAACTTCCCACCAAATCCCAGGTTTCTGTTAATGGCACACCCTCCTACAGTCCCTCTGATCAGAAGCTCCCCTTCCTTCGTGGCATAACCAAATGGCTCCTAAATCTTCCCCTTCTGAGATCTCTCCGTTCCATTCCCTCACTCAACCCGACAGCCATTCTCGCTGAGACCACTGTGGCTGGCTCAGATGGACCTCCCTGCCTCGGGTCTTTTTTCTTCCAATCCATCTGCAATATTGTCATCAGGCCAGTCTGGCCATGTCACTTGTGGGATTCCTCCAGTTTTCCAAGGGTAAGGCTGTACTCCTGGCTCTGCCTTTCTGCAAAAGCTTCAGGGAGGACTTGAGAGGCCCCAGAAGACAGAACTAGAGACGGCCTGATCCCCGGTGTGCAGTGGGGAGAGTCCATGTCTGCCGGCAGCTACTGTGCCCGCCAGCCACCCAAGCCAGCCTCATCCAGGGAAGCGGGGATGCAGGCAGGGCTGAACCAAATGGAACCAAATGTTCTTGGCTGTCCCATCTGCTGCCTACTCAATATGGTTTACAAAATTCTGGGCAAGCACCGGCATGAACATCAGAGCTAGCAGTGACCTCCTATCTTAATCCTTATTTCAGTCCACTGCTCATCTCCCTAGCTTGGTAACATTTCATGCAAATTATTGAGTCTATGGTTTAATAATGTCATAGAGTTACACATCATCTACATTACAATAAGAACCTATTTGTCCTGGATTAGAGTCATCAGTTTTATCTAGTGACCCTGCCAAAGTGTGGGCTTCATGAGTTCATGGTTCTAGTACCTGGCACTGAACAAACACCCAAAATGTTTCTGCAAATGAACAGACGCCTAAAGTGCTCTGGAGTATCCTTGGCTTAGTGTTATCTATCCTCCTGTGTAAAAATTCTAAATAGCCTGTCTCTCTCACCCACTTAATACTCTAGTTCCTTAGAGACATGGGTGCTGTGTATGACTTTTTTTCCCCCTCTCTCAAAGCCTATTGTACATAAATGCTGAGTGAAACAGAAAAAAGAAGAAAAGAGGTAAATGACAGACAGAAATGGATCCAGACAGACAGGAATACAGGACAAAAAAGAAAGAAAAAAAGAAAAGAAAAGGGAAAAGTGCAAAGAAGCTCTCCCACACACTTTGAGGGGTAGAGGATGATTTTCCTGCATCAGACAGAAAAGATGTTGTGGCAGGGGTGGGCTGAGAAACTAGAGTTCCTTACACACAACTGATAATCATCAGCAGCTTGGACACGCTCTGCAGGTGGAGACCACTGGGAGCATCCTCGGGGATGTGCCTCGTCTGCGTGGAACCTGTGGGGGAATAAAGCACGGTCACAGTCATGGCTCAAAAGTCCACTAACTGCTGACACTGCTCAAGCACCAATGCTACAGCTGTTTCTCCTGGCCCTGCAACAGGAGCAGACAGACTCTCCAAAGGGAAAGGTCGCGATGAAGTCAGGTAATCAGTGAACAAATAAGAAACTCAGTGACCTCAGTAGTGGGAATATGCAGGTACAGGACACAGTGAGCTTTGCAAAAGGAAGGGAAGGAGTCCAGGACTAGAGGTATCTGGCTTCCAGGCCTGGCTTTATCCAAAATCAGCCTCATAATACCTAGAAAGTCACAAAACCTCTCTGAGAATCAGATCACTTAAATGCATCAATCAGAAATGGTGTGGGTCAAACACCTAGCCAGGAGTGCTCTGATTAAAGCAGAAAGCAGGGTTCAGGAGGCCGGCATTATCCTCCCCTTCATCTGCCTCCCTCATCCTCCTGCAGTTCTGATGAACTACCAGCAGTGTGCAGAGGACAGTTTGCAAAAGATGGATCTGTCAACTTCTAGGTCCCTTGCTAGGTTTGGGAGACCAAGGGACTAGGGACTGCTTTAGACTCCCTGATCTTTGGGTTATAAATGAAACCTAGGATGTGGCTTTTGGCTTCTCCTTAGTGTCTTTTCCCTAAAACACGGATGATGCACATGAGAGCTGATGTGGGCAGCCATAGAGCTTAGGGAACAGAAACCCAGAGGAAACCTTTGCTAAGCAGAATTCATAAGGGTTCAGGAGAGGCTGAGGAACTTAAAGGGCAAAGGGAAGTAGACAGAGCATCGGGAACTTCTGATTTAGTAAGTTACATTCAAATTATGGCAAACTCGTACCCAGGACATAGAATGAGCATGCATATATGTCATGGCGTGAGCATATGATTCCAGCCAGATCGAAGACCCAATCCATACCACGCATCTCCACCTAGAACACACCTGCTACATGCTTGATCCGGTGGCCCACATCTTCATCAGTGGGTGTCGTGACAGGGCTCATCACCTCTTCCAGGTGGGGCACCCGCAGGTGGGCATGGGGCCGCTTTCTTCTCCGCACTGTCGGAGCCTTGCTGGCCTTCTCCTTGGGAGACTGCCTGTGCATCTCAGCCAGGTAGGTACTTTCTGTTTTGGTGAGCTCACTCTCTGACAGGGACAGAAGGATCACAAGACAGGCTGTCTTCCTGTACTTCCAGCCCTGTGCAATGGCCTCCACAAGTTCTACAAGGATGACTTTTCTGTTCTGTATCCTAAGAAGTTGGCCAGTTGGCAGATTACCCTTAGGATGCTTGCAGCAAGTAATTCTGGGGTCCATCCCTGCTACGCCTCTCTTCTGGGTTCAAAGTTGCATAGAGTCATGCGCACCAGTATCTGCACATCTCAACTAGACATAGGTACAGACTGGAGGAGATCACATACTTTCTAAGTAGAGGCATTCACAAGTGATTCATAGATAGCTCTCAAAAAATTATCATCACCTTGAGTATCACAAAAGGTGCACAGGGGTAGGTTTTACACATGCCTTAATTATGTCATAAGGCTATATTATTAGACAGTTGAAAATGCTCATATCCATATACACACTGAATTGGTATCCATCTGGTGGGCAGACTTAGGGACCCCACAAAGTCACTTCATTGTCTCTGTCTCTCCCTTTACTGTCCACTTCCCATTCCCCTGCATGACAGCTGGACAGTCCACTTTGTTTCTGCAGCTCAAACAGCACTGAGAGACCATAGCACTCACCTAAGTGGCGGAAGTAGTCCTCCAGCCCACTCCAGAAGTTCTTCTCAATGAAGGTTTTCACTAAGCCCCAAGGCTGTTTCCGATAGCGCAGCTCTGTGGAGACCCTAAGGAACAAGCCAGGAATAAGATCACTGTTTCACAGGCAGCCCCACCACTGCTGGGCAAAGGGAATTCATGTTTACACCCAAGGCAGCGTTGCATCTGCATTGCATTTTAGATGTTCAGAACTCTTTTTGTCTCTCTCATCATCCTCTCTTTCTGGCCAAAGAAAACAGGAACTCTGTTCTCATTTTATAGTTGAAGGCACAGAAGTTCTGAATATTTGGGCAAGCCAGAAGGAATCTGAATCCAAGCCCAGAATTCTTTCACGATCCCACACTGTGTCCATACCCCTTGCAGCATGGGCTCCTCCCTGCCCTTAGAGCAGCCTTGCTTGCTGCTTCCTTGTCGGGTGAGTGTGTGTGCGCCAAGAGATCCAGCTCATGCTCCCTGTGTGCAAGGGCACCTGCCCTGCCTGGCCCCTCCTTGGGGATGCTACTCCTACCTGGAAATACCTACACTCTGAGCCAGCTGGCTTCAGAGCCAGCACCTGCTCAGTGCACGGAGCATGGGCTTGTCCCTGTGAAGTTCTAGCCAAGGTCCACCAGCTTGCTTGTGTGGACTGCACAGAGACCCAGGACAGAAAGATCCTCTGAGGAGTGTGGAGTTAAGAAACAGGCACTGAGCACTGATGGGGGCGGGGTGCAAGTGAGGGATGTGAGAGGAGACAGCAAGAATGAGAAGGAAGGCAGAAGAGAAGTGTGAGGGAAGGGAAGGTTATGAAGATCAGGGAGCAGCACAAAGCACTCAGCTCTAAGGAAAACCAAAAACTAAACAAATAAATAAAAATGAAGAGGATGAGAAAGAGACAAGATCTTTGGGTTCAGGTATTAAGCTTTTTCTTGCCTCCTACAAGATCTGTGTAACTCTTAACTCCTACTTTATTTGAATTATATGAATGAATTTCTTGCTCCTTACAACCAAAAGAACTCAGCCTGTAACACAGATAAACAATGTGATGATTTCCCAGCGGGTGTGTGTCTTAAGTTCTCAATTAGACCACATGCTTCTTAAAACCTTGGCGTCTACACTTCCTCCTCCCCGTGACTGTGCACCAGTGTCCAGAGCTGAGTGTTCATCCTTGCAACATTCTCTGGACTCTGATGTGAAAAGGCTGAGAGCTGCCCAAGAAGGGTGGGATTCCTAACAGGAACACCAACAGAAAATCACGATTCCTAGCAGGGACACCAACAGGAAATCACAGCACCCTCCGCCTGTGGCAAAGAGCATAGGCTTTTGCTTCTAAGAGCTGAGTTTCAGTACTGAACTGGTGACGAGACTCTTCACAGTGACTTATCTGAGCACTAGTGGTAAATCTACCTTCTGGGATCATTCCAAAGAGTCCAGCAAAACTAGAAAACCCACCTACACAGTACTGAGTAAGTCTCAGACAACTTATAAAGCGTGGAAGTGATAAGGTCTTACTAAGAGGCATTCCAAATGGTAAAGGGAACACAACATAGAGACAGGAATGAGTCATCAGCACAGAGACCTGAAGGGCCCAGGAGGCTTTTGTGAGAAGATAAACTAAGAGTCAGCAGGTAAATTCTCAGGCTCTGTCCCTCAGAACAAGGGGACATCATCTAACAGAAAGACCCATCTGAACCCTTGAACCCTCAGACCCTTGAAACCCGCACCTGAGTCGACTCTTGTTTCGGGCCACGCGGGTGAGCGTGTAGCGATTGACGGTGTAGAAGTAGTCGTGGTAGGGCACGTCGTGGGTGAGGACCTCCGCATCGACCACGTAGCATTCGCTCTCCTGGCTCGCCTTGTACATGGTCTGTGGGGAGCAAAGCCTACTGTCCAAAACTGAAGAGCAGCAAGACCAGAAAAGAACCTTCTCGAATCTCCCCACCCCACCCAACAACTCCCGAAGGGCAGACACAGAGCATCCAGCCACCACTCAGCCCTCATCCTTCACTCCAGTTCGGAACTTCCTGGCCCACTCGGAGCCACCTCTGACCTCTTTGGGCTCACCTGTGTCTCCCTGACAGTGGCAGTTTTGGGAGCCAGAGGGTTGGTAAGGGTGATGGTATAGAGGATCACTCGGCTTTGGTTTCCATTCTCTTCCTTCTTCCACGGATGGAAGATGATATCTGAGGGGAGAGGGCAGCGGTGGAGTGAGGAAGGGAGAGCGGTGCCATTCCCCACATCTGGATCCCCCCGCCTGTGAACTTCTCGGTCCATGCTGTCTACCAGCAGCAGCACCCTCCACCCAGGAAGCCAATGGGAGCCCAGGGGCCAGGAGAGCAGGGTGGGAGGAGGGGGAGCCGGAGCAGAAAGGAGCTCATTGTAGCATTGCTGAAATTCTGCGCGGGGCTCCAGAATGCTGATTGTTCCCGGACTAGGGCAGAAGGTCCTGAGGCCACCTACAGGGGTGCTGGCAACACTAGAGTTACTGTGGCAAGGGCCCTGGGTCCCTTGGGAACAAGTTCTCTCCTCTAGGGCATGACCTCTCCGTGTCCCTAACATGTCCTCTTCCAGCAGAGGGACTTGGTGCTACCCAGAGCACAAACCCTCTGGGTCCTAGAAATGAATCCCTGCTCAGTCCCTTCACAGCCCAGGGCTTCAGGTTCCTGAAGCATCAGTGCAGGGCAGCCCAGGACCTGCGTGCAGGCAGCTTTGAGGACTGAATGAGATGCAAAGCTGGAGGCCAGGCAGGTCTTGGTCAGTACTGATTCTGTGGTGCCTGGTGACAGAGGCCTTAAGTAAAGATGCTGCACTGGGGGAAAAGAGGGACAGACGGCCCGAAGGAGCTCCTGTGCCAGGTAAGTCCAAAAAGAAGGCAGCTGGACCACTAAGTGCTCCGGCAGAGGAGACTGTCTGGGAAGAGGGGGAGAGAGGAAGGAGAAAGGGGAAGGGGCAGACAGCCAGGCAGGGTCCAGACCAGAGAAGCGCCGCTGCTCCATGAAGTCCCGCAGGAAGGGCGAGGTGGTGAACAGCAGGTCGTAGAGTTTGTCCACACTGAAGTTAAAGACCTCATTCACGTACTGCCGGCCGCTCAGATCCTCATAGAAGGCCTGCACCTCCCCTGCACCGAAGACAGGAAGCGGAAGTCAGTGGTGACCGCAGAGAAGGTCAGGAGGCCCCAGGGACACTCCCAGGGTCCTAATGTCTCTCTGGCTAACGGGACCACCCAGACTGAGGACAGGAGAGCTTGAGTTCTGGTCTCCATGGCGCTGACTTTTCCTCTATCATTAACTTCCCTTCAGTGGAAAGGCAGGTCATTCACTCTAGCAGACTCTGTCCATTGGCTCTTTACAGAGAGTTTGATCATGCACTGCGGCTTAACAGATTACAGAAACATCGTAAGGAATGAATGGTTAGGTGATTCCATCTTTGTATGAACATCAGAGTTTATCTACACTAAGATGCTCCCACACCACTAAGCATTATCATCTCATGCGAATGCCTTTGGATATGCAGCCAGTATGATTATGGTATTCAAGACTATATTTGTTTTTATACTTGCAAATCTCCCTAATTAAGCTAACTGCAGACTAAACTCCAAACAAATGACTAGTTGCTAAGGTTGCCTGTACCTCAAAGGATGCGTTACGACTGACAAGTGACACTGTGACCCCTGGCACAGGTGAATTCAGGAGCTGCCAATTAATCTGGAATGATCTAATGCCGGGCTGGCCCCAAGAGCAGTGATTCCTAACCACCTAGACATCTTATATCCCCTATGATTTCCATACCTCTCTTTAAAATAAAAACTTGTGATTATAGCTTTATTACAGCAAAAGAGTATAGATCAGAACAAGACAGAGAGAAAGACACACAGAGCAAGGCCGGGAAGGTTTCAAAAGCGAAGCGTTTTTCACAGTCAAGGGTGTCACACCCACATGGCACACTAGTCTGACAATATGAAGAACACTGCTAATCAGGGAATCTCATTTGTAATTTTCAGAATTTTATTTCTGCTAAAGGGGGGGGGTGTGTCTCAGGGCACAGGTGAGCCGCTCGGTCTTAGTGCTCCTCCCAAGTCCCAAGTGCTTTACAGAACCCAATGATTGCCACTTCCACGGGCTGGGACATGACCTCCAATAGGAAGGAGGCTGACCTTTCTGTTCCCGCTAGGATCCAGAGAGAGGAATACTGTACAGAGATTGTGCCTGTGACTGCACAAATTGAGCGCTGCCCAAACACAGCAGAGGATGTTCACGTCTTAGTTTATGTGGGTAGCAGTCCTGATGTGGGGCAGTACCCATGCTGCATGGTCTTTTGTACTGATTCTGGATTCCAGATGGGGTGGGTGAGCCACCAGCTCTCTGGGTAACCTCTAAGAGAGACTGTCCACGGTTTAATAAATGATTGTGTCTCTGCCTACTGACTAGAAAATGCCTATTCAGTGGAGGAAAACGAGCAACTAATTTCATGAATAGTGAGGCTTTGGTTTCTCTCCATGGAACATAAGCAGCAGTGGCTTCCTGTGTGAGCTCTAGAAGATAACTCGATGCAGGGGTGAAGACCAGGGTCTCTGCTCGTAGTAGACAGAAGGGAGTCTCCGAAGTCCATGTTACCCAGCAGCACTTCCTCTCTACTCTGAGCTAGAGTCACCAGCAAATTTTGTAATCACTGGAAGGGAATTTCTATTAAGCTCTGTCTCCAAAGAGCAGCTGACACATGCTTTTTCTTATGGTATTAAACACTGCCTTATCTTGTGTGCCCGAGAAGGACGAAGCCATGAGGCAATCCAGTGTTGACAGGGGTACATTTTATGGCAAGGGAAGATGACATCATTGACAAAACAAGGAAACACAAACATAGAACAAGGAGGGTCTTGCAGTGTCTACTTAAAAAGGGGATGTGTACAAATAACAAGCAGACATTTTAAACAAGCTTGATACCCACCCTCTACCAGGAAACAATAAACTGATGCCAACATCACATTGAGACTTCCTCTAAGCCTTCAAAATGAGAGAGGAAAGGACACTCTGGACCCACCTTCGTCATGGGTGTCTGAGGAATCGCTGAGCTCAGTGGGAATGTCCTCATTGTCATTAAAGTCCAAAGAAGGGGAGTTCACGGGTGGGATGATCTCAATCTTCTCCGCTATGATGTTGTCCATGGCAAGCTCCTTCTCCAAGGACCCATCACCCTCCAGTACCTCTTCCTCCAGAGGCAGGCCATCAAACTGCAGAGGACACAGAGGGGTCACCTACCGGGGCCATCTGGTTGGATCCCTCACCAAAGGGGAACCAGGATGTGGGCCCTGGAAGCACTCATTGCTAGCACAGCTGTTGAGGAGCCAGCCTAGAGTCAGGTGCTGGGCTCTCCCTGCTCTGTCTGCTGCAGGAGATGAGTAAACAGCACAAGGTGCTGCCACTCATTGTGCTGCCCACTCGATTGGCACACTGAGACCACAGGTGGACAGAAGAGGCACCATTCAGTCCAGGTCCTGCTTGGGCCACACCTCCACTATGCTATGACAATATCAGCCTGCCTCAGCCAGACATGGTGGTACACACCTGTGATTCCAGCACTTGGGAGGCTGAGGTAGGAGGATCACTGTGAGTTCGAAGTCAGCGTGAGCTATAAAGTGAGCTCAAGGCCAGCCTGAACAGCATAGTAAGATTTGTCTCAAAAAGACAAAAACGAAAACAAAAAAACAGCCTACTCTAGTAGTACATTTGTTCTATGAAACTCAGACAGTATCATAGGCTTTTCCTGGATTCATTCCCATTTTAGGGCTGGAAGGAATCCATACAGTCCTTTGTATTCTAAAGACAAGCTCAGAGAAAGAGATGAGAACCAGCCACTGAATGAATGATATCCCCATTTTGAGGCCAGGTGGCCTAACTCCTTATCCCCTGGACACAAGACTCCCACTTCTGAAAGTCCTTTTCTGTGAACTCGTGCCTATTCTGCCTGCTACCCATGACCTCTCTTTCTTCATCAAGGTTTATCTTCTCCATAATAACGTCACTGAGGACAGAGCTCACCTCAGACATTTTCATAACCTCCATAAAGTCTAGTACGGTGGGCAAATAAACCACAGAGACCTCAATAAATATCAATCAAATGGGTTCATAAAAAGTGAACTCTTCTATGGTTCTCTACTCACGCATAACTTTGTATTATGGTTTATGTCTAGATGGCCCCTGAGGACCTCAAGCGCTCATAGGCAGGACTTTGGGAAGGTGACTGGAATCTGGAGGCAAGTGACATGTGATTGGGAGATGGGCCTGGATGGGAGAGGTGATTATTACCAAGAGCCTGGCCTGGAAGGTGTGTCTCCCTTCCTGGTCTTCCTTTCATAGCTCTGCTCCCTAGACACCAAGGTGCTTCTCTACCATGCTGTCCCTCCTTGGAACCACCAGGCTATGTAATGAAACCTCCACAAACTGTAAGCCAAATCAATCCTCTCTTCCTTTATTTACTTATGGGGGGCACTGGGAATTGAACTCGGACCTTGCACTTGCCAGGCAGGCGCTTAGGCCACTGACCTATATTCTCAGCCCCTCTCCTCTTTTAATTTGTAGGTGTTGAGTGTCATTTCTCAGCAACAAGGAAAGTAACGTCAACACTCTGGCTTCATATCAAGGCAGTGGGGAGAAAGAAAAAAAACACCTAGACTAGTTCTTCACCACACGGGCTCCTATCAAGCAGCCTCCAGGATCCAACTCATGCAGTGGCTTTGGCATTTTCATAATCTTCCTGGAAGTTAAAGTAATCACAGAACCTGAGCACCAAGAGTCCAGCTCTGGACCCAGTGACCACAACCACTGGAGTACTGAGTCATGCATTCCAGGACACTGCCTTAAAGAAGCTGACCCCAAAGGACCCACATCCTTCTCACTACTCCCCAGGCAAGGCTCCAGTGGAGTTCATTGTACCGGGTCAGGGCAGTGCCCAGGGCTGACCATTCATACCGAGACAGGAGCTTCGCTGCTTCCTGTGGAGGTCAGGGTGCTGTTGGTGATGGATTTCTTGGGCAGCTGTGGGCTGGCATCTGGCTTGGTCTCTATGCTGCTTTTAGATGAGCTGTCGTTTACTTCATTCTCTTCTACAGGGATCTCCTCACAGTAGCTGGAGAAGACATCAGGAACCCATATTAAAATGGTCACACCCATCCATTCATCCAAAACTACAGGCTCCCCTGCTTCTTTATTTCATATACAATCTTCCTGAGCATACACTGTTTCGTCTGGACCTAAGTACTACCTAGGTGGCACTGCCCAAATTCTAGATCCTAATAAACTCCTCTGAACTGTACACCTAAGAGGAAAATCTCCTTAAAATGAAAGTTGTTGCTGTTCGAGGGACATTCCCGGGGCACTACTGCAGCCTTCCCCAAGGTAGCAATCATGGTCTTTGCATTCATCATTGGCATCAACATCTGACTTGCACCTTCTACCCCATCTGGGTGTCCAACAATTCTAAATAAATCACTAGATGCATTTTAGGGATGATTGGGTAGGTATTCACAGAGGTTACGTGATGCCACTATTGTCACCATCAGACACCAGTGTTTCTCACCAAGTCAGGGTCTAAGTACGCATGCAGTGCTCTTTCCTTGCCTTCTGTTCCTCCAGCCTCTCTCATAAATACCCGGTCTCTGCCGGCCTGTCACTCGAGAATCCTTGGTGAGTCAAAGTGCTGTCTCCCACCATGCAACGCGTGATGCTCTCCCTGCTCCTCCTTCCCCAAACGGTCTTTCCAGGACTCTGTGTTTTGCTTCTTCCTCTTGTTTTGTCCCCCTCATCCCAGCCCCTGAGATTCCTTTCCTGTTCACTGACTGACTCACTTGGAGGTTTTAGCCAGTCTCATAGCTAGTAGCCCCCAAGTTCCAGACTTCCCCATGAACTCCGCACTGGTTCCCAAATGCCTACTTGGCCAACAGCCTTCTCAGTCTCCGCTTGCCTCAAATCAGCCTCCTCATCTTCTGCCCAAAACTGTTTGGCCTCTCAGAACATGACCATCTCAGTTTGGAACAACTTTATCCTTCCAGGAGGAAAATCCAAAACATCACCTTTGATTCCTTTCAGATCTATCAGCATATCCTTCAAAATATATTAATAAACTTATTCAGGAAACACTGATATTTCTGCTGCTATCTTCCTGATCCAAACCACCACCATCTCTCACCTACATTATCTGAATTATTCATCAGTCTCTTAAGGGGTCTCTCAACTGCCCTGTTTCCCTTTCAGTATATTTCTAACACAGGGCAGAGCACTCCTGTTAAAATATTAAATGAGACTTTATCCCTGATCTGCTCCAGACCTGCCATCCCACTCTGAGCAAAAGCCAATCATCACACTGGCCAAATGCCTGTGCCCTTCAGTTTCCCTGACCTCATCTCCAACCACAGCCCCCTTCTCCACTTTGAGGTCTTCCCATAGGTGCCCCAATGGTCACCTCTTCAGGGGCACGGCTGTTTAGACACCACATTCCCACCAAGGCCCTCAGTGGTACCCTAGCCTGGAGTGCCCTCAGCCTCACTCACCCCATTGTGTTGAAGTCGTCGTCTGGGGGTACATAGTCCTCGTCGTCGCTGGTCAGGCCCAGCTCGTTCCCGTAACACTGGTGCACAAAGTGCCAGAGCTCCTTGGGGCACAGGGGCTGCAGGGGAGAAGGGCAGCAGCTCTGACTGGCCTCTCTCAGGGCCTCTTGTTCTGCACAGAGGCACTGAGCCGGGCTACTCTCTCCCTAGCTAACCGAGAGCTGAGCGGCTACCTCCAGAATAAAGTCATCTGCTGAGGACTATGGGTTACAGCAGAGCAGGCTAATGGCCCCTTCCTGGCCTATTCCTGCAAGGCAGATCTGCAGAATGGGATCAACTGGGCTCTTGGGGAGGTAACTTCTTCACCTTGTGCTCCCAGGGATGAAGTCCAACACTAAGTACAAGAAACCCTGTTCCACTGGCGTCAAGATGATCTCAGAGCTCGCTTAGGGCACTAAGCACTCAGAGGCTCCTGACCTAGTCTTCCACTGACCACAGAAGTCTTTTATATTAATTGCATCACACAGGGACTCAGGCTTGACATCAGAAGCAGCATATTCCATAGCTGGAGAGGTGGACACATAAAGAGTCCTACACTCTCATCGTTTAAAGGACCTTTAAGGTCATCCCTTTCCACTCTCTGACTACCTGAATATTGTTTTCTGTTTTCCGAAGTACAGTTAGTTGGTCTACAATTCCTTGCATTAGTTCCAGTATTTTCTTATGCTACTGGGTGCTTGCTTTAAAAGCACCATCCTAAGTCAAGAGTTTCCCAGGAGAGGAAAAGGAATATTAGAAGAACTAAGCTCAGAGGTGGAGGCCATGAGTGGGTTTCAGAATTGAAGGAAGGGAAGGTGAGGAGAACAAATATGTGAAAACAACAGCAAGAGAAAAAAAGGAAAACAACAATAATCAATTATGTTTTATAAAGAAAATCAAAGTTCAAGAAGGTTTGTACCAATAGACTTCATCAGGAATCTGAGAGCTCCCCAAGATTTGTCCTTTCAAGGTATGGTTTAAGAACCAGGTGCTTGGCGGGACACCATGGGCCAGCACTGTTTTCCAACCCAGAAGAAACATGGCAGTTGGGAACCCCGTCTCTGGACAAGCAGGGTTTGGGGTGGCAGCTGGCTGTTACGCTGACTGTTACACTCCCTTCTTTATCTGGACCTCTTTCTCCCTGTCTCTGGCCATCAAGGACACGTCTCATCTTGCCTGGGGCACATTTGCCTCCTATCAAACTACACCCTAGCCTGCTGCATTGTCTTCCCTGTGACACCTTCCCTGACCAATGCCACCTGGCAATCAAGGTGAAGACAGTCACAGTCAGCCAGCCCACACCATCACGTGCAATTCTTTACTACTGTTTTGGGAGGCATTTAGGAGCCATGTGGATTACCTTGTGCCTTCCTGAGAAATATAAGAAGTTGTATTCTAAAAATTAAACCTGGTAGTGGAGATGGGCAGGCATGATTTTATTATCAATAAAGACTAGTAAAGGCACATGTGAGCTCAAAGAAGCTATCAGGATTTATACCAGGGCTATAAGACTCTCAGATCAGAGAAACTCCAAATTAAAAAAACAAAACAAAACCAACAGAAAGGACCACTCAGTTTTCTTCAGATAGTAGTTAGGTTGGGCTAGAGTCAAGGCAGACACGCACATGTATTTGAATACATACATGTAATGTTTACAATGTTAACTATGAGGGAACCATACTAGTAATTTTTCCCCTCATGTCTTCTTTTCTGACTTGAGGCGGTTCCCATCAGAGGGGAGCTCTCTGAAGGCAGAGACCTTGATAGGTGATCTGTGTCTCTTCCCAGTGTAATTCTAATACTCCAGTAAATAATGGATATCAATTTTAACTGAATTTGCTTATTTTCAGTATTTCTGATGCTGTGGTGTCTGGGGCCTTGCTGAATGGGGAGGAACCCCTAAGGTTAGGAAATTCCTAGGAGAAAACAGGTCACTCCTATGCAAATAATCAAGCCAAAAGCTACACCTACCAGTTTCCATTTTTCTGTAGCTTGAGCAAACTTCCCTGGCCAGGAACTGGCAATTCCAGACAGCCCCTAGACCCCAAGCCTGCTGAAGTGGGTCACAGCCAGCCGATCCTCTACCGGCGTGACCTGGTTCTCCTGCCTGGCTCATGGGCTCTCCTCCCTCTCTACCCTCTGACACAGCTGTGCTTCCCTGCGGTCAGGCCTGGTGGAGTGCTGCCCTTGTATGAAAACTCCTCCTTTCACGACATTCATTTCTGCACGGTTCACCACCACTGGTTAAAACAAATCCTTATGTATTTTCAAACAGTGGCGCTGAAGGGCCCAAGGTCACAAGCACCATCCTTGTGCAGCATGGGCTCAGATCGCCATCTCCAGGGGGAAGGCACCTTCCTCGCCCCACTGAGGTATCTCCACACCACGTGGAGGTGTAGGCTTCTGTGAACACGACCCTCCAGTAGGGACAACGGCCAAGAGGAAAGGACACCACGGGAGGATGTACATGAGTGGCCGCAGGTCCCAGCTGCCCAGCACTTTACCTTCTCAAGGAGTGCGTTCTGCCAGAGCCGGAACATCATCATGTACGTCCTGTCCCGGGCCCCGAACGAAGTAAAAAAGTGCTAGAACGGGAAAGAGAATGGCCAGGCAGACCAGTTCAGACTCTCAGCACGAGGAATGGAAATACGTTCTTCTTTTTTCAAAATTCAAGACACTGATGTCAACCTCAAGTACAGTTCTCAGGTATCTGTGGTCATCACAGAGGCACTTTACTGATGGCACTCAGGACACCAGGGTTCAAGGCACCTGCAATCTAAATTCTTTCTGCAACCAATTCTTTCCATTTTTTACCCACACTTTGTTCAGTGTTTTTCTCTCTGATTTACTGTCTCTGTCTCCATAAAAACATGTCTTTCACTCACATAATGGGGCCGGGCTGGGGAGCTGGGAACAAGCTTCAGCAAAAAGATAAGACAAACCCCATGGCCATTTTAATTAATTCAGCTAGTAGGTGAACGTTAGTACTGCAATGCCAGGCACTAGTGTACATGTTACGAGTACAACAAGGTCTGAACAGAAAAGGACTGTTTTGATGGAGCTGACTGATGAGCAGGGAAGAGACACAAGACTTTATTGCACACCCATTAGGTGCTTGATAAATGCTATTTTATTTAAAGTGAAAAAACCCCCACCTTAGACGATAAATGAAGCTACCACCAATGAGCAAACCAGCAAGGTTAGACAACTTGCATGATCACAAAATTGATTGCGTCAGAAGCGGATTTCAAACTAAGGACTATCTCAGCCTGGAGTCTCATGATTTTTGCCCATGAATAGCTGGAGTCCATGAGAATGGCAAAAATTATCTTCAGCAGAAACCTAGCCCACCTCTTCACTTAAATCTGTTAGTCTTCACACTCTGATGAAAGGTCCAAGGTCAAAAATCATGCATTTCCCTGTCACGAATTTTATATACCGCATTCTCCCATACCGCTAAGGACTATTCAAATCCAGTCAGACTCTTCATCCTCTGGAGACATGATCAGCTATGCCATTAAGTAACGATGACTACTTACATTTGTATAGTGCTTTACAATTTAGTATTTTCAAATATGTGATAGTACTTAAGACTCTGTTTAAATAGATATTGCAAGGTCACTTTATATATGAGAAAACTGAAGCTCAGAGAGATAAGGTACCTACAAGGTATTCTGGCTCCAGTTCCAGGGTTATGCCAGCCACCCTCACCCCTGCTCAGCTGCCAACCACTCTGCCCACACAGGAAGTGGTTCTATATCACACTACACTGCCCAACCCTCACCCCAATCCCAGTAGCTTGCAGATTGAGGAAATTCAGGGTCAGGAACCCAGGAGCAGAGTAAGGAGTCTGGAGTGTGAGTGGGTCAAGAGGCCAGAGTTCCAATCTGCTTACCTTTTCGGAATCAGTGCAAACTTGGATGGCATTGGGAATGAGGCGAGCTGTTTTTTCTTTAGTCATGGAACAGATGTCTTTCAAACGGACTGTCAGCTGGTAGTGCCACAGGGACAGAGAGCGGGTAACAAGCAAGAGGAGACGTTAGTAGTGTCAGGCAAGGAGTGCCCGTGTGGTGCCAGTGCAAACAGACCACAGTACATGCATTTAGAACCTTGCAAGAGACCGCCTTAGAGAGTTCCTGTTTACCCTTTTATGTAATGGAGGCCACAGAGGGAGACAGGGACTGGATCTGTCTACAGTCATGGGTATCTCAATTCCTGGACTAGGAGGCTTTCTTTCTCTTTTCTACAGTCTGCTAAATGTGCACACGCCCTGCAGCTTTGCACCCGCCACATATAAAACAACCAGTGCTAGACGGGACCATAAAAATCATGCAGTTGACCTTTCTCTCCCTTATTTTCTAAGGCAAAGAAATAGGCCAAGAAAGTGAACTGGCCTAAAATCATGTATCTAATTAACTGCAGAAGACAGAAAGTGTGTGAGGCAGTACTGAGTTCCAATGCCTTTCTGCTTCATTATGTCTCCTCCTGTAGTAACTCATGGCAATAATCACCTGCATTTCCCAAAGGCAAATGCTCTCAGAGTTCTCTTCCGCACCCAAGAGCAGGGAAGGAAGCACATGGCAGACAAGACCCTGTTCCTGGGACTTAGGATTGGGCCCACTTCAGCCTTGGCATTTGTCTCTGTTCTCTATGCAAAGGTTTGGGAAGAACTCAAAGTCAGCGAGAGGCAGACAGTGAGAGTGTTCGGCTCAGTTGTGGCAGGCAGGCAGCCCAGGGAGCCAGGCCCAGGACTTTTTGGGTGGGGGCAGAGTCCTGGGGATGGAGCCCAGCGCAACCTTGCGTAAGCTAGGCAAAGGCTGTCCTGCTAAGCAACAGCCCCAGCCTGAGTCCCAGTTCCTTACCAGGGTTTCCCAGCGGAAGATGTTGCTGTAGAAGCAGATCCAGTTTTCCGAGAGGTAGAGTCGGCCCTGAAGAAGAATGTCTCTTTGGAGTGCACATGAATAATCTGTGATAAGAAGCAGGACAAGGGAAGCTTAGAGACAAGAATACTTTTAACAAGACATTGTACAGTGGGTGTCCCTCCCACTAGCAGAGGGGAGGCTGAGCCACCTGCCACCTGCCATTAGGGTGTGAGACGCCTGGACTAGTGAACAAGAAAGTGTCTGGCATCTCATGGTCTGAATAGTGAAGCAGTAAAAGATGCTACTGCCCAGAGGTGGATGAATGAATGTCACGCGAAAGGGGCCAAAAGGGTTAAGGATAAAGAGGCCAACAAAATGCAACAAATTTTGTTGGCCTCTTTATCCTAAATTTCTTCCCTCGATCTGTGATTCAAAATTCTGCCTGATCTTTGGCCATCTGTAGAGACAACAGACTCCAGAGCCTGCCACATGCATGGTGGACAGCCCTGAGCCCTAAAAGTCGGGGCCAGTGCCTGGACATCCTCTCTCCCTGTTCCCAGACAAATGCACTCCCTGGGTTTGGCTCTCAGCCTGCACATAGAGACAGCCCAAGCGCCCGTCCTGGGACTCTCGGATGTCCTGCCTACCCGATTCCCAGGGCAATAGCTCACCCACAATGAGGCGCTCCGTGTCTGGAAGTTGCTTAAAAAGCTTCCTGAAGTCTTCATTTCTCTGCTTGTAAGTGGGGCTTAATACCTGTGGAACAAAGATCAAAGTTAGCAAAATGTACCCTGGTTTTGTGGTGTTGGGGAAGTAGGCACGGGGGAGCAGGTGCTTGTGTGTTAAAAAGGCAAAGATGAGGCTTTGTTACCCCACAGGTCTTAAGGGGCCAGGTTAGGAAAAGGAGTTTGGGATGGAAAAACAGTACAGAGAATCCAATCTGACAAAACTGTTTGTTTCAGTGTCCATCAGTGAGAAAACACAAAAATACTAAGCCAGGTTCATAAAGCTTCCAAAAATATGGGAAGGTTCAACGCCTGCAGGACACTTCCTGGGAGACACCACGCCAACTTTTCATGCTCTGCAGGAAAGTGGGGATCCAAGGGGACAAGCCCAGTCCCCAGCAGTAGCCGTGAGAGTGTATGGCCCAGTGCACCTTGCAGAAGTTGTCATGGAAAACATGGTAAGCACCCAACTATGTGCAAAAGACTTGAACTTAAAAATGATAAACGTAATTCCTTAAAACTTGTAAGACCAGTCCTGGGAAAAGCACAAAAGCACATCTGGCAAAAGAGGCATTCAGCTTCCTCCTCATCCTTACAGAATTGTTTTCCACGCTCATGGTACCATGGACACTCATTAAACAGAGGGGAGCCCTGGCCTGAGGTCACCAACTGGTGATCACAGGAAGATCTCAGAGAGGAGGAGCTCTGTTATCCTCAAAGTTCTGGGAGCAAAGGGGCTCGGGATGGAAAACCAGTGCAGAGAATCTCATCCTGCAGCGTGCTGGCATCTCTTACTCCCTGGTCCTGTCTGTGCTCATCTTCTACCTGCACCTGAGCCACAGATCTCCGACTACTGCTGTCATGGAGCCATGGTACAGGCTCAGATCCAAGGCCACCCAGCAAATCCTTGGAGATGACACTAGCCAGCAATACAGACAGGAACATTGCCCTTTCAGAGGGGTATGCATGCATGTGTGTGTGTGCAGTGTGTGTGCGTGTGTGTTTTACTGGGGATTGAACCCAGGGCCTTCACATGAAGTTACATCCCCAGCTGATTTTTAAAATTTTGATTTGGAGACAGGATCTTGCTGTTATGTTTAAGTCAAACTTTATGTTAAAGCTTTAAAACTTTATGTTACAGTCAAACTTTCAATCCTCCTGCCTCAGCCTCCCAGAGTCAGCAATGGGTACAATTTTAAAATGAAAAATGAAAAGAATAAACATTAAAAAAGACAAGCTCCCATAGACAAGGGATACCCAAGGTTGACACATAACAAGCACAACCAAGGGAAAGCCACAGACAGGGCTTGAGAGACGTCCACACTCCGCCTCGCTATGTACTGACCTATTTATGCAGAAACAAGGCTGCTGACTGTCAGCCAGGAGCACAAGCCCAAGGAATCCTGCTTGGGACCCATGCGTCCTGGTCTTTTATACTTTCTCACCCACATCCCTGGGCACCCACTAGCATACAGCTGTCACGGTGAGGGAACGGCCCTGCGACTGTTCATATTTGGGCTTTCTATAAAGCTTGACTGCCTGATTGCCAGTCCATGGATCTTCCCATTTGGCCTGCTGCATGCTGTAGGAAACCAAGGCACCAAGAGGTCAGCCATGAGCCCGAGAGCATGACGACCAGTGGGCACAGAGCAGGAACCCTGTCTGTGTACCAGGAAGCTAACAATAGGGCTTCCCCACAGCAGGGCACAATCTCTCAGGGCCCCTCCTCGTCGACCATTCCCCTTGGTGGCTCTTTATAAAATTCCAGGGTCAGCATGAAGAGCAGCCTACCAGGTGGCCATGTGCCAAGTGAAACTAGATATCAGGCATCCAGTTACCTGAAGCCCGCACCTTCTCCTATTCCTTCTTTTTTTGGTGTGATACTGGGGATTCAACCCAGGACCTTTGCACCAAGCTAAGTCCCCAGTCCTTTCTATTTTTATTTGAAGTAGAGTCTTTCGAAGTTGCCCAACGCTAGGTTCAAACTTGCGATCCTCTTCCTTCGGCTTCCCAGAGTGTTGGGGTGACAGGCACATGCCACCACCCCCGGCTCATCCTCCCTCTGCTTATTTTTCAATCACTCTCTCCTCCTTGCTTCTCTCATATCGGGTCAGATATCTAGTGAGATGGGGATGCAAAAAGTCTGGCCACAGTCTCCCAACAGTGAGCAGACAGAGTGCTGCTCCTCTCTATGCTTGAAATAAAGTTGTAGCCACCAGGGAGGGCAGGACAGGACTCCTAAAAGATCCCTTACTCCAGATTTACACACAAGCACCTTATTCTCCTATCCTGAGTGGTGGTCCAGCCTCTCCCTCCTGGAGCAAAAAGCACAGAGACATAGCAGGTTGACAAGCTCAACCAGAGCCCTGTGCCAGCTGAATGCTGCGACCCTAGCCCTCCCGCCCCATGCCCTCTTAAATCTAACTCCACTGGTGAGGCGTGGCTCACCTATATAAGATGGCCAAAGACTTCTGGTCCAAGGGTTGTCAAATGTGAGTCCCTTGGGTAGCAGAACCAAGTGGAGCATGCAAAGATGCATAGCACGGTCAGAGACACAGAGAAACTGGGTCACACACTCACAGCTGGGATTTCCTCAGATCCATGCCAGCCACAGAGTCCAGCCCCCGCAGGTACATCAGTCACCCTCTTCAAGTACCACCGCAGTGACTGGCTTTCCTGCTGCAGAAGGAGGCTCCAGAGAACCCCAGATTCCATCAAAGACTCCATTGCCCCCCACAGCTGCCCTTCCCAGCGGAGTATAGCTCCTTGCACTCTGACTCCTGATGGTCCCTGAAGGATGAAAACAATTGGCCCTGTCTGGACCAGAAGTAGGAAGGTGACCTCTAGCTTCAGGATGGAGGGTCCGTGTGGCCCTGGCTGCTGTCCTTTCTTCTCCCAGAGCCGGGTCCTCAGTCAGAACTCTCACAAATCAGAGGACGTCATGAGTATGGTTCTCGGGAGACACCAGCCAGCTGGTCTCCCACAGCTGGGGTCTGCTTCGTCCTTGGCTGGACTTTAGGCTGAAGGCAGTCAGGGGGGTGCAGCCAAGCACCTCCTCGAAGTCAGCACGGATGATTGCCCTGAGAGTGCAGCTGAGATCAGGAGACACAGACACCGCCAGCCATGGCACCATCGGAGGCGTCTGCAGGGCAGCCCGAGTGCACAAACTCCACGCGAAGAGAAGGCCCTACCCTGGGTCCAGAGGTCTAGCGCCACTGTCTACTCACAGACGACAGAGTGACTCATAGTTAGGGAAAGCTCCAAAGAGGCACTTGGAGCCCCAGTGCCGCAGTCCTGATCTGTCCCATAGAGTGACATGCGTTTAATCAACGCACAGTCTCTCCCCTGGGGAGTCATGGGCCGCTGTGACTCATAGCCCTCACCCAGGCAGAGCAGCCACCACTTAGCTGTGCAAAGGGTCTGCTCTTGTCCACACCCCTGCACACACCCCTTTTTCGACCAGACCCTGCTCCGTTCAGCTGGCCAGCAAACAACCTCTTTGTTAAAAGTCACCGTGGCAGGAGGGAGGGAGGGAGGAAAGACGGTGGGTGGGCAGGGCCAGAGGCCTGCACATGCTTCAAGTTACAGGATCTGGGTGATGGTCCTGGCCAATGTCCTGCAGTAACCCCTGGCCTCTCCCCAGCAGATGTTTCCTGCAATGGAAAGTTGCTGGGCAAGGCTCCGAGTGGGGGAGGGGAGCAGAGGGTGCCAAGGGCACTGCTGCTGTGATGAAATCTGAAATTTGAGACTCAGACCATCAGGGACTTCTTGGAGACACCCTCTCCCTTCACGGACCCGTCCATCTACCAGATTTGGAAATTTCACAGCTGATCAGACATGCTGACTAGGAAGAAGCTGGACAGGTCACTCCGAGGCAGTGAGGTCAGCAGCTCTAGAGTCTGCTTGAAGCTCCTCCTTCCTTCCCAGGGACCCTGCCCCAGGAGGATCCAGGCCCAGGAGATTGGCAGACAGACCCTGAGGACAATGCTAAAAGCAGAGGATTATGGCTCCGAGTCAAAAACAGGCAACCAAATATAAAGGGAAATGAAAGCGGGCCCCTGGGGGCAAGAGAGGCCTAGGCAGGAAGACTCAGAACAGGGCTGAGAGAGTGATGGGGACTCCCGTGAACTCAGAGCCTTGAGATAAACAGATCAGACACCTTCCCCTCCCCAGCGAGGCCTCTGCCCTGTAAGAGCACTGGGCCTGGACGTGACAAGGAAGAGTGCCTCTGCCCTAGAAGTCTCATCAAACTTCTCAAACTTTACCATACTTAAAAAAGACCCAATGAACATGGTAAAGGATGCAGATTCCAAGGTTCCAGACCTAAAGAGGCTAGCTAATTAAGAGAAACCTGGATCCACCCAAGTACACAACGCTGGAGAATGCAGAAGAATCTGAGTCCTTCTCCAAATACGCTCTTCACCGTCCTTTCCACCCTTCTCTCAAGAGACACCGTGGCCACCACCTCCATCCATCACGCTGGGTAACATAGTTGCTTGGACCACTCTCTTCCCCAGGGAGGGCCCATGCCTCAGTTTTGCATCTTCTACAACATCTAGGATGATATGTTTCAAATATCAGGTGCTCAAAATTATGTGTCAAAGGAAGGCGGCCCTTCTCCTCCTTCAGCTCTCCTGTGCACACAGCCTGTTATGTGTACACACGCATCCACACATGCAGAGAGCCACCACGGGTATGCCTGGCTTCTTGGTGCTAGTGCCTGCCCTCTGCCCCAGCTCAAAGTTTCTCTCTGTCCTGTCTGTAGCATTGTACCAGCACCCAATTTTCCAGGAATTTCCCAGAATGCCTTGCTCTGGAGCCACCCTACACTTCAAGATAAGGGCAGGATACAGATTCAGTGGGGTTCAGGTCATTAGGGTAATTCCTCCAAAACATCTAAGTAGAGGCTATTGATAGGGACTAAATGAGGTGGTAATTGAGTGAAACAGGGGAATCATACACCCTGAGAGATAAGGCCCTGGGAGCGGTGTCTCTCAGCATGCATCAGCCTTTGTCTCCTCCACCCTCGCACCAAGAGCTGGGCAGGCCAGGGCAGGGCAGGGCAAGAGCCCCAGGAGCAGGAATTGGATCTGGGCTAAATATTAACTCTCTGGCAAACACCAGGTGCCGGGACCAAGTGGTACCCACTCCCTGCGGCTCTGTAGGAAGGAGCCGGTGGGAGAGCCTAGGAGAAAAGCAAATGGATTTTGGTAGCAAACTGACCTCAGCTAGGAGGAGACCTGTGAAGATCCACGAAGGAAATGCTGGGCCTCCAACCAAATCTGGTAGGCGGATGCCAGATGGGGACAAGGAGATGGGGGCGCTGACTGACCACCAGGCAGATGTGGGTGCAGCGTGGAAAAGCTGGGAAAAGAATGGGGCTGGGAGGGGTCTGGAAGGGTGAGACTGCTGCACGGAGCCCAGCACTGTGGTCAGGGCAGCAGAGGTGAGAAGATAACCACGGAAGGGAGAAGGATGGAGCCAGAGGAAGAGGGGGAGCCGCACTGGTCACCACTGCTCCCCCTTTGGCTCTCTCATTGTCTCCACTGCTCCCACACATAATTCCATTCCACAAGGCTTTGGCCTTCTTCTCTCAAACTCAGGCCAGCCAGATTTATTGGGTCATTCCACCGGACTGGCATCCCCAGCAGGGGCGCATCAGGTACCCTGGGGGACTGTGTCTCTGGCAGCTTCTCAGGACGAGGTTTCTTGCCTGGGGTGCCACAGAGTCAGCAGACACTGAAGCAATGAGCATGAGACAGAGGAGGGCATAACTGCCCACCAGAGACATGGCAAAGATGCCTCTGTGATCCTGTCTCACAAGGCCCAGGATCACACTTGAGCAGACTGCACTGGTCCCAGCCCTCAGGCTGTGACCTGGTCGTCTTCAACTCCACCCATGGTTCCCTTCCCAAGGCAAAAAGTTCCATCTCGGCATCTCCTGTGAGCAGGCCAAGCTGGAGGCCTCACTGAACACAACCCCTGTCTATGGCCAGCAGGGGTAGGGTAAGGAAACCAGGTGTAACCTGGCCCCAGGACAATGGCACAAGACATGGTCTTCAAGTCCTGCTCTTGACCAGAGGCTGTCCATCCCAGCCTTCCATCTGACACCAGGGCTAGCCACTGCCCTTCCTGTGACTCACGCTTTAGATTCAGGTGGTTTGTCACTGTGCTGAAAGCGCCTCACCGGCTAACCACGTAAAGGTAAAATGTTTATCTTCCGCAGGCAGGTGGCAGGCGAAGGCAGAGACTGGGGTGTGGTCGGTGAGGGGAACTCAGGCCTTTCACTCATGGTTGGACCTCAAAAGCTCTTGCAGGGGTCAGCACTCTGCAGGGTCCACAGCCAGGTCCCTCTGACTCTAGCTATGGGGCATCTAACTACCCCCAGGACTGGGCCTTGCAAAGCCTGGGTCTATCAGGCCTTCCAGTGCTAAAATCAAGCGGAGGCATCAGGGTACATGGAGCCAACCCTGGCAAGGGATGAGAAAGAGCACTGTGGGCAGAGCTGAGAAGGGCACGGTCCTCTCTGACGGCCAGATCCCAGCTAGCCCAGGGCAATGCAGGTGAAAGGCAGGCGGCTGCACAGGATGAGAGAAAGCGGAAACCATCAGGTCAACAAGGGTGGGGCGCTCTTGAACAAAGCAAGTGAATTACTGTGGGGGGTGCTTGGAAGAAAGAGGGTTTCCCGTGATGTCCACAGAGCATCACTCATATACCGTGCACTGAAATAGAGGGGCCTGGTCACCTGCAGGGTGCAGACCATGGAACAGCACGCACCCCAAGCCTCATGTGTATGGATGCAGGAGGCTCTGGGGAAGTGGCCAGGTCACAGCTTCCTTTTCAGCCTGGGCAGTTTCTGAGATAGGTGTGCTGGCAACCATCAGAGTGAACCCAGGGACGCTGATTTTCACGGTGTGGAGCAAGCAGCACCCTGCCTCTTCCGCAGATATCAACTGTGCAAAACTCTGAGTAGGCGTCTTTGGGGTCCCAGGAAGGGAGAAAGGGCTGCCTGGCCCTGGAGGCTGATTTGAAGGACACAGAGGTTCATCTGCTCTCAGGCTTTGGGTATAATCAGCCAGGAACAGTGACATCAGACATGCTCAGCATCTGTGCCTTCACAGGCACCCTTGACTCTCCCGGTCCTCCAGCCAGGGGACAGCATCTCACAGCCTGCCACCACATGGACCCCCAGTTGTGTAGGTCCTGTGCTGGTCTCAGATGTACGGGTCTTGGGAACGGGGCTGAGGGAGGACGACGTGGAGATGAAGGTGGAAGGGGAGCAGCATGGTGGTGCACACCAGTTATCCAAGCACTGCGGGATGCTGAGGCAGGAGGATCAGAGGCTTGAGCTTAGCCTGGGCAACTGGGTGACTTAGCAAGACCTTGACTTAAAATGAGCGAACAAAAACCAACCAAGTAAAGTTGCTGGGAATTTATTTGCTGCTGTGGCCCTGGGTTCAACTCTCAGTACTGCAAGGAGGAGGAGGAGGAAGAAGAGAGAGAGAGACAAAGACAAAGACAGAGAGACAGAGACAGAGAGTCACAAGGCAAAAATACAAGGGGAAAGAAAGATGAAACTAGTCGCTGAGCTAAAGAACAGTGGGAAGAAGAGAGCACAGTGCACTGGTCCCCAGGACGAGGACTTGTGTGGCTGAATGTGCATTGTTTTTGCTGCCTACTGGGCCCACAGCTGTGCGTTTCCTGATCCTCTTTAGGGACACTAATTCTGGCAACATCACCCCCAAAAATGGATTAGCTGGTGAAAGATACAGGGGTCCTTACGATAGCTGGAGCCATGGACAGTGCCAGAGGATGGGGCCCACCGCCTTCCTTTCTCCTCCCCTCCGTCCTGGGGTGTGAGCTCTGGAAAACCAGAGGCCAGGTGACTTCTGGTGGGTCCACAGGGGAGCAGGCATGAGAGGGTCCAGCTTCTCTCCCATTCCAGGCCTCCTAACCTTCAAATCCCTCCTCTCTGCACAGCCCACCTGGAGCTGGGGCAGTAAATCCACCAGAAAGCATCCAGGGCATTAGCCGGATGTGGGGCCCACTATGATTATAATCCCTGCATTCTGGGAGGCCGAGGCAGGAGGATCATATGTTCCAGCCCAGCTTGAGCAACTCAGTGCTCAAATAAAAGATACGGGGGCTGAGGAGGTAGCTCAGTGAGGATGCTCTGGCTCAAACCAAATAGCACGGAAAAGTGGGACATGGGACATGCAGGACAGGCAGCCTCGGAGCAGCAAGAGGTGTCCGAGCCGCAGATGAGTTAGCACAGATGAGCCTGGCACCAAGGAAGTGTCAGGGACCATGAAAGAAAACACACAGCCTATAGATTGAGGCCCACAGCCCCATGTTAAACCCAACACCTTCCCCGAGTCCCTCCCTCTTCACCTTGAAGCTGTCATTCATAGCCACCTTCCCCATGCTGCCCGAAGCCCACTGCACCACTGGGGTGGACACTGATGCACAGAGGCTGGGAAAGAAGGCCCCGCCATGGCCAGAGTGCGGTGGGAAGCTGAGCAGCCTGGGAGAACGGAGAGGAGTGGCTGCAGCCAGGCCACGGTGCACAACACCAGCTCTGCTGCTGGGCAGTCTCGGGGAGCCAGTAAGAGGCTGCTTGTGGGGGGAAGAGTTTAGAGCCCCACCGTCCAGTCTATGTGACCAAGTTCTCAAAGGCACTCTCGGGTATGGAGCAGCCGGATGACACCACAGGATCGCTAGGAAATGGGCCCCAAGAGCAGTGAATGTCTACTAAAAGGAGCACTGTTCGGGGACAAGGTTAGGCTGTGCCAGGAGCAGAAGACAAACTCCACTACCTAAGACAGCTCTCAGCTGAAGAGGGCTCGTCCTCGGGGCTTCTCCCCCAAGATGTCTAAGAGATCTGTCCCTAGTTCAAACCCCAAGGCTGCCCCACACCCAGAATTCTGTCTGGCCAGTCCTCCCCAACAGCTCTCCTCCCTTAGGGTTAGAAGGGCTAGTCCAGGAGGAGAAACAGGTGGGGGCTAAGGCCTCCTGCTTGGCTTCCTCGTATTAAATCCTCCGGCACCAGGGCTGTGCTGCCCTGCCACAGAGGACATCTAGTGCATCTGGCCTGGAGAAGCAGAAGATTAGGAAGAGGAAGAGCCCGTGGGGGTCTCAAATGGGCACCACTCCTGCCTGCCCCACTCCCGCCCACCTCTGTCGGCATCCACTTGACAGTTACCCAACAAGAAGAGAAACAGGAGTACTTACATTGTACCAGCTCTGGCTTTTCTGAAAAGACAAAATGAAACAGTAACGTTAGTTAGGGAAGAGGCACTGGGAATGGCTAGAGTACTCCTGGTCCCCGAGGGCAGGTGACACAGACAGCAGAGGGTGGCGAGGGAGGAGGAACCCAAATGCAGCTGAATGCTTCCCATGTCGCTGCTCTGGAGGGGTCCTCCTTTCTCAAGACAGCTCCAGAAAGGAGGCCCAGGGAGCAGTCCATGCTGGAAGCCCCACCATGGCCGGGATAGCTGGGAGTTAGGTAGCGGCAGCACCAGCTAGCGCTCAGCTGGAAGGGAGTTGGAGCCCCATCACAAGGTTCTTCTGATGGGGGCGCAGGATGCACTGTGGACATCCCAGGGGCAGTCCCCAAATGGGACCTGACCAGAAGCAAAGTACAGACGGAGGCCACCCAGCCTTGTACCCCAGCTCAGTCACCGCTCTGTGGAAGGCAGGGTGGGATTCTTCTGTGCAGGGGGCGGG